CACATTCACTCTTCACTCCTTTATACTTCTCTCTGATCCTTTGTGGTATTCCCACACTTGATCCCTTCTTCATCATTTATACTTCCCACTACTTGTGGTATCCCCACACTTAGTCTCTTCTACACCCTTATCTTCAACAAGCCTGAACCCTCCTTCTACCAATCCATCCATCTCAGAGAGCAGTTGGTATCCCCAGCTGGGTCCCTCTCACACCTAAGGACCTTCTCACCAGAGGTGCTTACATATACGGCAGAGCAAGGCAGAAGACCTTCACCAACATCTACTAGTGTAGAGGGGCTAGTGGCCTTATACCACGTGGCAGAGCATGCATCATACCAGGGCCAAGATGCCTTTAAAAGCTCTGGATTTACTCTCCTTTGTCAGGTGTCCGCAATATCCTAGCATGTTGTATGTGTGTTTGATGGTGAAGGACTTGATTGTGTAAGCCAGGGCTTGTTTTTGGTGGGTGTAGAGGCGTGGGTGGCCATAAGCGTACGGGCGTTGTGGTGGTTGTAGGGATAGTTACAAAACAATGACGGTGGCAATTGATGCTAACCAGCTGCCAAGCCCCTAGGCGAGACGCTAGTGCATCACATGTGACTCAATTAAGCAAATCTGAGGTTGTTGCAATAGCCCTTGCGTTGGGAGTGGTGTTAAGATTTGACAATGGTGCACGGGCCCAATTTGGTACTTCACAGCAACCATCCCATGCCAAGCCTTGATCCGTCAGTAGTACTGTCGCTCCTCTAGTTACGTACGGAGTACCGTACTGTTGACCTCACCTCCACTACGGTACTGATCACGTGCCCGTAGTACGGGCAGTACTACCGACAGTAATACGGTCCGTAGGACGCGCTGCATCTGTTCAAGAAGTCGGTTCGTGTTGTGGCTTACATGCGGGTACACCAACACCGATAAGATATGTCATGGTGAAGATTTTGATGTCCGCAATGCTACCCTGGTCGTCCGAGAGCTTCATCCATCACCATAGTCAACAACGGCTCATCCTGCAAATCGAGGAGAACGTCGATTTAGACCCAGTGTGATGGTGAAGGATCACGTATGGCCCAGTTCCCACGCCTACAGAGCCAGCCTCCACGTTTCTTTTCATCTGCGAGACCCGAGCGAGACTTTCGGTCTGTAGAAGTTATGGTACCGTTGAGGTGGGAACTCCATCCGAGTCATGCTGTCGATTTGGGTGAGGCGCCTGAGGCTTCGGTTTCCTTTGATCCAAACATATTTAGCGAGAACCCGATTGATAGTTCGAAAGTAGTCTGCATGGCGCAGCTTGACTGTACGTCCATGCTCTTCGGATGCAAGGGCTATCGCGTAAACTCGATTGCGCAGTTATGGCTTAAGGCGTCCGTCATCTGACCTGCAGAGCGCAGGAGATGTGTACGTACCAGGAGGAAGATTCAGGTACCGGAAGTGCTTGTTCACATGATGACGAATCGGTTACTATGGAGTGGAGAGTGATGGTGACGGAGTAAGGTGAGAGGAGCTGCCGCAGTTGAGGAGGTCGTCAGCCCGCTGGCGGCGCTGGTGACTTGCCGCAGTCGAGAGGGAAGGAGCGCTCAAGGCGCTCAGGGCAACGGTGTTGAAAGGAAGGCGCCGGGCTAAGTGACAATCATAAATATGCTATGCTATGCTACGCTCCGTTCGGGAAATGCAACAATCCCTCCCCAATCCTCTCGTGAAATATCTAGAACAAAAGCAAAAAATCATGGTATCCAAACATCCACCAGCATATTCAATATGGTAGATGTGCCTCCGTCGATGCTTTTGTGCGCGACACTCAAAGGCGCCGCATGTGCTTTTCGAAGCAGATGACCGCCGTCTAGGTCCGTGCCATGTAGTATGTTGTGTGTATACAAGCATCCCATCTCGCTGCTGTAGATCAACGTTCAAGCATCCTTCGAGATACTATTCAACAACTCGCCCTCGCTCTTCCTCCTCTTGATCTCCTGCTCTCCACCCTTTCCCTTTGGCTTCTCCCCCGTAAACCAACCATGTAGTCAGAACTCTTCATCCCTTTCCTCTTTCTTCTTATCCTTGTCGGGTCTGCCTCTCATACTGCCCAACGAGTAGTCGCCACGGCGCTCCTTCTCGAGTAGATCGAGCATGTCTTTCTCCTTATGCTTGCTCTTATCGCGGTCCTTCTCCTTATCTCGGTCTTTGTCCTTCTTCTTGCGCTGGAACGGCAGTACGCCGCGCAGACCGCGCTCTTTCCGTTCTTTTTCTTTCAGTTCTTTGGGCGCTTGGGAGGAGAAAGCGGGCAGCGCGGTGGTGTACTCTTCTTCGTGCACAGAACCGTTTTCGCTCGTTTCTTTGCTCTGGTTCTCAAGGTCGGGGCGAACGGTGCGCATGTTAGAGTCAGGAGACATGAGCTCGGAGTGGGATGTATTGATGGGTGCAGCGGGATTGCTACGTTGGAAGGAGCCAGTCGAGCCGGAGGGGTTGGTATGCGTTTGTGGGTAGGAAGGTGCGGGTGCCATGTGCAGGCCATCACTAGAGCCGGGTGGTGTTTCCTCCCCGGCTGATGCCGATGCACTTGCAGATGCTGATGCTGACTGCGAGGTGGTCATAGACTCGTTCGTTGAAGGTGCATACCCGCCGCGACTGGCGAAGGGGTTGATGTACGAGATCTGGTGGGAGTTGTTGCTCCTGAGCGAGCTTTGGGACGCCGAAATGCTCGAGTTCTGTTGGTGTCTTGTCTTTGCCGGTGGTCTCATGGTTATGGGAGTGGTAGCAGCTGATGATGACAAGTAGTCGTCTCCGTTACCAGCGCCATTACCTGGCGATGTCGGTATATCTTCCAGCTCTTCCTCTTTGATCGCTCCTCGGCTCCTGGTCATTGCTCCCCGTCCAGCATCCAGGTTTGCACCCTGCAGTTGTTCAATCAGTTCCTCCCACTTGACGCTCAATGACGAAGAAGGGCGTTCAGCAGGCTCGGCACGGTTCAAGCAATCTTTCGTACGCTCGCTAAGGGACACACAAATGTTGTGGAACCGAAGAAGATCGCCATCGCCCGCTTGGATCTCGTGAGCAGTCTTAGTGGTGTTCTCAAGCCAGAGGCTGATGAGCATCGCAAAGTTGCGCGAGTGGTCGATCAGGTACGGGAGCGATGGGAAGCCCTCTTTGAACGTTGGAGGAAGGCGGTGCAGGATGGCGATGGGCGTGCTGTAGGATGGCGGAATTGGCGGTGCTGGCGAGTTTGCGGTTGATACCGAGCAAATGTCGTCCAGATACTTCTTGAACTCCTGTCGATGCGAAGTGAGGAAAGCGTTCATAGGCTCCATCCAAGCTTCTTTGGTGCCGAAAGAGGACATGTTGGCCAAACCCTGCAGTGACTTTGCGATCAGTGTAAATGTTCTTCGAGCTTTCGTCTTAGGGTGATCTGTGTGGTGTCAGTAATCGAAAGCTGTCGAGTAGTGAGATAGGCGTACCCTTCAGCAGGCCAAACAGCTTTGGGTTCAGCACTGCCGGAACGAAGAAGCGCAAGAAGAGGAAACCAGACACACTGCTGTACTTCACTGTGCGAAGGAAGTCGCCATATCGGTCTTCAGCACACGCTTTAATGTGCCTGAAGATGACCCTCAGCTCTTGCGGGCATCTTTGTACAGAGTTGTAGATTGCTCGCCACACTTCTTCCGTGCAATTGATGAGACGTCTCCAGTTGCGGTCTAGCTCGTGCTGAGACGACACTCGGTTGGGATCGACTTCGCAATCAGGATCTTTCTCGTTGATCTCCCTCAGCTTGTCGCATAGTGTCTCCTCGAGGTACTCCTTGCCCAGCCTCTTCATGTGCAGATCCAACGACTTGGTGAGGAGAGTGTTGCCGCGGAATAGTAGGTTAGCCTCTAACTTGGCGTTGACGCCCATGTCTCGGACGAAGAGTTCTCGGTCGCTTGCAGAGCCAAAAGCGCCGAGAGATGACTCGTTCGAGTCGCTGGATCCAAGCCTCTTACTGAAGCGAAGTCGGCTTGCAGGCGAGTCCTTCAACGTCCCGTCAATCTCCTCCTCCACCAGCGCACACAGCCAGTCTACAGCTGCTCCAGACACCTGGAAGATGTTCAACAGATATTCGGACAATCTTCTGAGCTCGTTCGGCACCATGTGGGCTATCTGTAGCGTCAGACTGTTCGAGAAGCGATGTAGGAGCTCCGACAAGGGGTAGTAGTCGCGAGCCATCAGGATCGCACACTCCTCGCTACTGACGCGCACAAGCACTTCGCCGACGCTGTTGCCGTACATGTTCACAAGTGGCCACCACTTCTCCAGCTCTTGGTTCGGTCCCAGATCATCGAGATAAATATCCGTTTTGCCCAGCGTCTGATCAAATGAAATGCCAGCGTACCCGCCTTCTGACGCATACGCATCGGTGCCAATTGCGTTCTCGAACATGCTTTTGTCGTTTCGGTTGTAGCTCGGTGGTCGTTTCTTCAGCAACAGTGAGGCCGTGTGCAGTGCCGGCAGGTCCAAGAATTCGAATTCTTCTCTCCAGAACGGGGTATTGCCTTCGTTCTTCACTGTTGTGCGCGCGCGAGTTTCTCCATCCAGCAGCACTTCGATGAGGTATCCCCCTGGGTTCGTCGTGGCAGAGGAAGACGGTCGTAACGGTGTCGGCCCCTCACCAACAGCAACCTTGGGGCTGACAGGCGGCACTAACCGCGCCTCGATGACTTTTAAGAACAGCGACTTCTCCATGCGAAACATGTCCTGCGTTTCGAATGCTGGCGACAGAGGACCCTCCTCGTGCAGGGTGTCTGACTTGGGGCCGTACAGTTGTGGGACGGTGAATGCGCGCAGAAGGACGATCCAAACTTCGTACAGGACTCGAGACTCCAGTGACAGGAAAACAGGGCGCAACAACGGTATCGATGAAGACGCGGCAGTATATTGCGGATACACGGCGATGCAGAACTCGTTATCCAGAACCGAGGGATCCAGCCGCTGAACGGCGCAGCGCGAGAGCTGGGAGAGCTGGACGGTCGACACGAGGGTGACGTCGGTGTCCGAGTACAGCTTGAGCTCGCCGTTCTCACGCAACGTGCAAGAAACCCGTCTCCACCGCCTGGAGCCGTGGCTCTGGACGCGGTAGGCTTGTGGCCTCCCAGCCCCGGACTTGGGCGTACCTGTGTTACTGTACGTCACACTCGTGTCCCAGTAGATCATCTTGCCGACCTTGATGATGGGCGCCTCCTTCTTGGGTGTTTCTTTCAGCAACGACACCTCAGAGTGCCGTCTGCTGTCTGCCAGCCTGCGCTCGATCACGACGGGGGCCTGCGGCTTGGCCATCCTGTTCTGTATCCCCTTCGGCCGCATAGGCTGCCAACACAGGAGCGCAGCAAACCACAAGTCAAACTCTTCCTGCGTCGGCGGCCGTAGATGGACCTCGAGCTTCGAGTTGTGCACCGTGACATGCAGGTAGGCGGTGCAGGCCTCCCCATCGTAGGCGCTCCTGACGTGGCAGCCCCGCAGGTCCGGGATCAGGGTGCGCGTGTGCGTGTTGTCGTTCTTGGGCTCGTAGAGCAGACTGCCGGCCTCGTCGTTGATGAAGCAGTACGACAGCGCCCACGCGTTCGCCTCACCCCGGCGGAAGGCCAGCAGGCCTTGCATCTTGCCGCATGTGGTGCGCATGAGGCTCTTCAGCTTGCGCACGTCGGACGCGGGGACGGGCGAGGCCCACGACTCGGGCTGCGCGCTGTTTGCGGACGCGGAGGCATGCTGCTGCTGCTGCTGCTGCTGCTGCTGCTGCGGCGGCGGCGGGGGCAGCGGGGGCGGCGGGGGCGGAGGCGCCTGCTGCTTGACGGGGCGGCGGGTGTTGCTGCTGGCGGTGCGCAGCGGAGGCTGCAGCGAGGGGCCCGGGATGGTCGAGGGGTGCCCAATGGAAGACACCAAGCCCTCCTCGAGGCTCTGGAAGCCGCCGCCTGCGCCGCCGCCGCCGCCGCCGCTGCTGCTGCTGTTGACAGACCCAATGCGATGGCGGCTCCCCGGCATTCCCGCCATGAACAGACTGCTGGGCGACCTGTCCCGCGTGCTGCGCTCCTCGAGGGTGCGGGTGCGCGGCCGGCTGCTCTCTCCGCCGCTGCGGGCATGGCGGCTGCTGCTGCTGTACGTGTCGCTGCTGTTGGCGCGGGCGGGAGCGTGGTTCGCGCTGCTGCCGTGGCTGCTGCCGTGGTGCGATCGCGGGGACTGGGGCGGCGAGGTATACAGCGACTCGGCGGCGGCAGACTCGGTGGCAGACTCGGCGGCAGACTCAGCGGCAGACTCGGGCGTCACGGCACGTATAGTGGTAGAGGTCGTCGTTGTAATGGTGCCGGTGCTGGTGGAAATCGAGGTCGTGAAGGTCGCATAGTCTGCGAAGTCGTCTCGTTGGGCATCGGCGGTCGTCTGGCTCCTGTTGCGCCTGCCGCTGCCGCTTCCGCTCCCGCTTCCATTGCTCTGTCGCTGGTCCATGCTGGGCGCAGTCGTGGTAGTGCCCTAGCGAGGCCTCCTGCGAAAGGCGCTCATGGACGTCGGGGTGGTTCAGAGGCGCTGCTACCGGCGAGAGACAGCGGACAGTGCAGACCGTGTTCCAGCTGTGTGGCGCATCGCTGCAGGCGTGCGGGACAGTTAGCGGACAGTAGTGCTGAGGCTCGCCGCGGACCCTGGCTGCTGGCAGTGCTAACACCGCTAGGTACCCTCTAACAGTGCAATCAATGCGACTTGGCAAGCTATGAGTCGCGTAGAATATCCTCGGCCAAGATGCTGGCACGAATCGTCAGGTTGGGACGTCTGCTGGAACACAAACAGGCTGGCCGCTCATCTATCTGCAGCCCTAGCCACGAGTTGGACCACCCGGCTCCTTGCAACCGACGGCCACGCTTGTTGGGCCACGCTCGTGCGGCACAGAGTCTGCATGTACGAGCTGGTGATCGCTCACACAGTGAGAAAAGCTTTGTATGTATTCGATTGCATCGTCGTTACAGTAACTGCATGGATATCATATCGGCCAAAAACCAAAAGGCTGCACTGCCCCCCCACCGCTGTCTGCTGCGGTAAACGAGACGAAAGAGATGGACACAAATCTGCCCCTGCATAAAAGACCCCTGCCGCAGCAAACATCTGCACATAGCCGTGACATATCTAATCAAACTTTCAACACCGCTTATCTGAACGGACGCTCGTCCTCCACGCTCACAGGACTGAGTGGCTGCGACTGCGGTGGTGTGGCTCCGGCGGTGCCTGGCTTGCACATAGCCTGCCGCATCGTCTCGACCTGCAGAGGCAGCTCTTCGTTCATGGGGGCGTTGTGTGCAACGTGCGATGCCGATGGGCTGCCGGGTGAGCGTGTGCGGGCGTGCTCTACGCCCTGCTCTGAGGGTGCACCGCTGGTTGGAGGGGATGCTGTGCGACCCTGGGATGACAGTGGTGATCGCACGGGAGATGGCGAGCGGTTGGCTGAGGTCGAGTTCAGGCTCATGAACTGGATGCCCTCTGCCGGGCCAAATGACTCCCTGTCGTTCTCCACGTGCTCTGCCTGCACAACATCTGCAAAAGAAATGAAGCTAAGGCGCTTCACGTCTTCTGTATCCAGCGACCCATAGTTGGGCGTGGCTTCTGTCGTCTCAGTGACACCACTATGTCCACACACAACCGAGTCCTCGGCTGCCAGCGACGGCGAGTACACCGAGTCAGCCATGCTGGCAGAGACTGTCGCAGCAGCAGGCTGATGGGCCGAGTGCGTGACAATCTCCACCTTCTCTGGGTTGAGGTGGTCGTCTGTGATGGCTAACGCAGACGCATCCAGCGCAGGCGGTATCATGTCTTCGGTCTTGACATGGTTGGGAATCGCCGGCGATAGCTCAGGCTCCTGCACATTGCGCTCGAAGATTTGCGAAGATGCTGGCGAGTGCAGTCCAGGTGAGGAGGTGCGGTGGATGCTGCGGCGATTGGGCGAAGCGCCAATGCCGATGGGAGCAATGCGCGGGCTGCCGCGGGGAGACGCTCGTCGGTCGAACGGTGAAGCTGTAAGAGGGGGCGAAGGTAGAAGCGATGGTGCAGAGGTCGTGGACGCAGATACTGGCGGAGAGGTTGGCGCAGTCGACGTTGTGGGCGAGAGTGTTCGTGTAGGCGCGACTTCTTCGGCCAGAGCAAAAGCATCCCTCTCGGCCTGTCCAATCCCCTCCTGCTGGCCGCCCAGCCCCAGCAGCTTCTTCCCCTTCACCAAAATGCTCTCCCCATCCGTCGTCGCTGTGTCCTCAGCCAGCCTGGCCAGGGGCGCGCCTGGGGAATGCGGACCGGGCTGTTGCGGGGACATTGTGCAGGTGGCGCTGTGGTTGTGCTAAGGGGTGCGGTGCTGCGCGGTTGTCGAGGCTGCGGCAGGAGAGGAGTTTAGCAAACTGCGCACGGAGCTGGAGGGCTGGAGGGTTGGGCTTTGAGCGTGTGCGTTGTTATGCGCCGCGATCAATGCCGTCGCTGCAGTGGAATTATTCTCCAAGACCGATGCGCTTCCAAGGACGTTATAGAAGTGGGTTCGAGTTGGACCCTGGAGACGGGCGCGAAGCTGGAAAGCTTGAATTGCGGGCGCTGGCAGACGAAGCAATTTGAATGGCAGTTTCGAGTATATAGGAATCGTCACGAGCTTGTTGTCTTCAGCACGTGTCTATACAAGCAAAGTGTTGGGCTCAAGCTGTCCTCTCGTTCAATCGAAGCCATGTCCACGTGCCACTCGCACCCAATGACGTACTCCCCTTTCTATCTGCGTCGATCCCACCAAGCCAGGCACACAACACCAACCTTCCTCTTTTTGACCTGTCTAATGACGCGTTCCGCGAAGCCGTTTGCGCTCCTGAGCGGCAGCCGTTATGAACCAAGTTTCAAGTCCGAGGATCGTAGTCTAACTAACACCACCCGCCAAGTCGACACGAGGTGATGCACTTCATCGAAGGGGTGCAGCACAATCTCATCTCATGGACGTGTCTACCATCGAGCGGCCTATTCTGGTTTGCTCACAGGAGCCAGCAATGACAATGCGCGCGCCATTCCTTACGAACACCAGTTTCAGAGGCGCCCACCGGTTTTCTTGGGGGTGTGCTATAGACGCGCAATGATGCACGAACACCTCCACGGCTCGAAAATTCCTTTTAATCGAGATCGACGGAAGCCCACTACATCCTAATGGAAATAATGTGGTCATCTGAATTCGAAGCACCACTTCCTCTGCACCCACCTGAAAGGTGATGAATCTTGCAGTCTCGACAGCACAACTGCTTGCCAAAGCTCGTTGCCGTCAGGACATGGCAGCTGTCAGTGCAGCTAATTGACATTTTCGGTCCCAAACTTGATAGCGGCATCATTGTTCGCAACTTCCGCCCTTATGACGCAGTCCTCGACATCCAGCTGGCTTCCAAACAGCTTCGACAACGAACTTCGTCACGTCACGCGCCACTCTGCGCTGCACGCAGCCCGTATCGACGTCTGCGTTTTCAAAATCGTGGGCCATCACTCAGATGTAACTGTTTGGAAAGATCTGACACCCGTCCAGCTGGCCAATCGAGGGTTTGTCTCAGCCTCGATTCGTCCAGCAGAGCGGGCGCTTCGGTAAAGGAGGCGTTTCGCCCGTTTCAGTACCCGCTGTCAGCGCCATCGCGATTTCATGCCTCTCAAACTTTACCACTCCTCGGTCTGTCGCACGCTGTCAGTATACCTGATGATGGCCAAGTTTCAGAACGTCAAGACATCCTTTTTGGTTATCCACCCCACATCTGTGATTCGAGTTCGGCTGAAATCGGGGATCGCATGCTTTCACGACGAGGCTTGGATGAATGTTTACTGACAAAATGCTCGAGAATCAGGTCAAGAGCAAGTCTGAGGGTAAAAGAAACCAGCGAGCTATCATAACAGGCCTCAGCTCCGTTCTTGGGCAATGTCTGGCTTGTACAGACCCACCAAGCGCCTACCTGAAAGCTTGTCAAAGCTTGTCACACATGTCTCGCCTTGTCCCACCCTACACGAAGATGGATTGTCTCCAGACAAGTCTTACCTAGCCTTGTTGCCGCGGATCTAGGGCTTGAGACTCACGAGCGGAAGCTCCGCCATTGGTGACGGTGAGGCCTGTTCTGCGCCTTTATGCTGTGTGAGGGGACACGACTATACTGTCCTCGGAAAACTTCACGACGGTAAGGAGAGATCTATAAAAGGCTATTATCTTCTTCTAATTGTGACCAGCAGCTTGCAGCTTCAAATTCGTCTCTTCCTTCCTCATCAAATTTTTAATCAGAGCGGCTGGTTCGTTTCTGCAGCATACATTCTATTCCTAACTTCCAATCTCTACTTCCTTCCCTATACAACAATATCTCTCTCAATTCACTCGACCCAGCCAACATGCGCTTCTCCGTCCTCCTCCTCAGCTCCATAGCCCCCGCCTTCATCGCCGCGCACGGCAAAATCGCCGCCGTTCAAGGCGACGCCGGCGGCAACGGTACCGCCATCGGCATCCAAGGCGGTATCATCCCCGGCGCAGGCAAAAACAAAGTCACTGAGCCCGACACCACCATCTTCGGCAGCACCAAGGTCGCCACCAACGGACTCGGCAAGACCAAAGGGCAGGGCAAAAACACCGTCGCCATGGTCGCCGACACAATGGAGCAGAGCGGTTCGACCCTCCCTCAAGTCAGCGACGGCGGCATGATCACTGGTACTTTCCACATCGTGACGACAGATGGCGCAGGTCCCGTATCCGCCATGATCGATACCACAGGCACCGGCGCCTTCTCCACCGGCGTGCAGGCGAATGTCATGCAAGATGTACCCGGCAACAAGGGCAATATCAAAGCCAACGGGCAGGTGCCGCGCAGCCTGGAGCACTGGGCGCTGCGTGCCCGCGGGCTGGTGAAGCGCGCGTCAAATGTCAACCAGGACTATCCGATTGCAGTGCAGGTGCCGGCTGGGACGACGTGCTCGGGTACCGTGGCGGGGCAGCAGAATGTATGTTTTATGAAGATTGCGAACAGCAACAAGGCGGGGCCGTTTGGAGGCGTTATTGCGTTTCAGATGAGTGATGGTGTTGCGGCTGGGAATGGTACGGCCGCGGGAGGTGCGACTGGCGGCGCATCGACAGGATCGACGACTGGTTCGACTGGCACTTCTTCGACTGGCTCGACTACGTCTATAAACGGTAATGGTAATGGTAATGGCAAGACTCAGGGAGGAGCTGGAACTGCTGGGACAGGATCATCTTCGGACTCAAGCAGTGGGTCTGCGGTTGCGAAGCGCTTCGTCGCCTAGGCTCAGCGTGGAACAATGCTCAACAGCGACGATTCCTCATCAAGCACCTCCGGGCCTATCCTTAACATCTCAAACTCGGGCAACTAGGCGCTAAACAGCACACTTTAGTCCATACACCTCAAATCCAAACAAACGAATTCACACAACCATAAAATCCATCCAAACCCCCTTCCCCATACAAACCTCAAAATCCCCTCCCTCACCAGAAAAAAACATCTACACTTCGAATCCCAGCTATGCACCAATTCGTCCACCTGTCCAACTAACTACAGGAAGCTTGTCGAACCTTGAACAGTGAAGTGGGTCCTGATAGATACTCTGGGCAGTGTAATCGTCTCCAGGGTTTCCTGGAATGTCAGAAGTTATTTGGCGTCTTTAAACTCGTACAAAAGTACTCGAAAGTGGATATACATTCGTATACGTAAATCTTTGATTCGTGAAATTGAGGCTGGAACTGAGGCGTCCAGCCGTTGGAGTGGAACTTCAAAATTTCCCGATCTTTCGCGCCTACAATCATACATAATTAAGACCATCTAGAGGTGCATGAGGCTTAGCTGCGTACAATGGCAGCTGAGACAAGGTGTTGTTGGATCGTGGTGTGCGCGCTGATGCATTCCTTCATGATATCTCATCGATCACGCAAGCATGCTGTTGGACCTATACCTCTACACCGGCCTTCATCATCCGTGTCTAGAAGTTGAACGCGTTTGCGTACGCCTTCTTCTCCTTCTCTTTCCTTGCCTGTACCTTCTTCTTCACCACATCCAGTTCCCTGACAATTGCTGCGTCGCCTGGTGCGTACTTGATAGCCTTGTTCAGATCCGCCAGCGCATCTTCCTCGTTCTTCTTGCCAACCTTGGCCTGCGCCCTTCTGAAATATGCCTTCGCTTGATCTTTCTCTGTAATGCCCTCAACCTCAAGCGCCTTCGTTGCGCTTTCGGCAGCCTCGGTGTACTGAATGGTCTTGTTCTGGAGAAGGGCGAGGTTGGAATAGACGGTGATCTTCAGTACCTGGAGGCTCTTCCAAAGCTCTGCGGGGTCATTGTCTTGCGGTGCAGGGTACTCGTGCAGGTAGCGGAGCGACTTCTGGTACTTCTTGATTCCGAGGTTGAGGTCCTGCTTCTTGAACGCGGCGTTGCCCATGTCCTTCAGCTCAGTCGCAATCTTCAGGATCTGTGCGCCTTCCCACTCCTCTTCGCCTGGCTTTTGGTCCTCGGGGAAGTCCTCGTAAGGGTCGCCTGTAACGTCGGGGGTCTTTTCGGTCGCCTTCTCGTATTCGTCGCCTTTGAACTCACCGCAGTCTATATTCATGTCAATTCCCGAATCTAGCCAGTGTTGCGCGTTTGTCTCTTACCGATGATAGTAACGTCGTGCAATGGCTTGTCGCCGCTCTGAGTCTTCAGGTTCTCGATCTGTCGTACGATGCTCCTGCCGTTGATGACCTCGCCGTAAACAACGTGCTTTTTGTCCAGATGCGGTGTGGGAACGGTAGTGACGAAGAATTGCGAGCCGTTGGTGCCTGTCTCATGTCAGCAATGGCCGCATCTGTCTTCTCCAGGAGCCGACTCACCAGGTCCAGCGTTCGCCATGCTCAGCAAGAACGGCCTGTCGTGGATCTTCTCGAAGTTCTCATCCTCAAACTTCTCACCGTAGATACTCTCACCACCTGTGCCGTTGCCTTCTGTGAAATCGCCACCCTGAATCATGAAGCCCTTGATGACACGGTGGAAACTCGAGCCCTTGTAGTGGAGAGGCTTGCCAGCCTTGCCGACACCCTTCTCGCCGGTGCATAACACGCGGAAGTTTTCGGCGGTCTTAGGGACGATGTCGTTGTACTGCGTATGTGTTAGTTATCACTACTAAGGCTGGTAGGGAACGTACGAGTTCGAAGGCAATGCGCCCAGCCTTCACTCCGCCAATGGCGATGTCGAAGAAGCAGCGAGTGCGCTCTGTAACACGTCAGCGAGTGCGTGCTTGGTGAGAGTAACAGTTGTTTACTGTCAGCCATAATTGCTTGTATGTTGCTGTTGAGATGATGTTGAAGCTTTTGTATACACAATTGAGGGGTGAGGAGTGTAGCAGTGAGCTTCTGTGTTGTCAAATAAGGTTTGTGGTGCGAAATGAGGTCGAAGAAAAGCTCCGGTAAAGCTACCAGAAAGTTCTACGAAGCTGTACAGCCTCCCCGCCGCCTTGCCAAGCGCCAGCTGCCTTGCAGCAAGTGCGACCGTCCATCACTGCCTGGCGAAAGTGGCGAGGGAAGGCCTTAAATCACATGTAAAGGATTTATAGAAGGAAGCAGACATCACAAAGAATGAGAGGAGATTCTGTCGCAGTTGGTAAACATCATAATCGATTGGTGAGGGGCAACGCGGGGAATGTGTGTAGAGACCGTGCACAGCAAGGCTCGCAGTGATGTTTTCCATGTGATGATTGTTGAAGAAACTCCTATCTCTACTTTCATAAATGCGCCTTCTTGCAAGCAGTCATTAGCAATGGGTAGTCCAAACGCCGATGCAAACCAGGTATATATGCTGAATCGACAAATCAGATGCAAGACCTCTACACCGCGGACACATCGCTTACCAGCTCTTGCCACGGCCCATAGAGAATGGCAGAGCTGACGAAACGATCTCATTCTGCTCGTAGTGATATGCGAATCCTCCTTGAAGCGTTCTTCGCAGGGCGTTCAACCTCAGAAGCTTCCACCACTTGTCGATTCTGACTTCAAGGTTGCGATTGATCCTGACCTTCATGCGACCGGCGCCATATGCTCGTCCGCTTTCTTGATCGATCGCTGTCGAGTACCCAGGGCCACGCGATGGCTTCTCGACCGAGTTGCGGACGTCTGTGAATGAGGAGTGTAATGTCTTGCGGTCTTTCTTTGATATCCTGCGCGAAGACACAGTTGCTAACTCGTCAAGGGTTTGCAGCAGTTTGGGCTGGTTACGGTAAACCTGGTAACGCTTCACCAGCTTCTCACCGCCTTTGGTGTACTCCGGATGATCCTCGTCTTCTGGCGCCGCCTCGATCTCCTCGTCTTCTTCCTGGGCTGTGTACGACTTCTCATACAACAAGGCAATGTTCTCTCCTGCAGCGATCTGTACGCCAGCATCGGAACTCTCGAGCTGATCCACGAAGGCTTCAACGGCCGCCTCTGTCTCTTCCTCGAGGTCTTCGATGTCTGTTGCAAGCAAACCCCAATTCTCCAGAGCGGCAGTGACGATATTACCATTATCCTGAGCGTCAACAGACACTCCATCTGTTTCCACGATCTCGAGGAACAGTGTCATGATGTCCTTGATCTCCTCTTCGCCGGCTCCGCCAAAAAAGGCAGCCAGGCCAAGGCAGTGGATCGCGTTGATTTGAACCTCGGTAGATTCCGACTGTATTGCTCGCTTAAGTTCGCCCGAAACATCATCGTAGATGTCACCTGTGTCGAGGGTCACGATGGTTGCAGCAAGTGCTACTGGATGTTAGCTGCGTCAGACAAGTAGTGCAGAATCTATCGTACCTTTGAGCGCCTTGACAGCCTCACGCTCTGTAGCCTCTTGTCTGATACTTCGAAGTATTGACTGGAGCAGTTCTCTGATGTGAGGCTCGATCTGTTCGTTGGCATAGCGTGCCATGAGAATGTGTGCGTAGGCATTCAGACTTTCAGTACGACCTTCAGCGCTGCTGCGCTTCAAATTAGTAATCTGCTCGATGCGCACGCTGAGCTCAGATTTCCATTGCTCCTCAGAAATCTGGACATCTTCGCCGTTGAGGATCTCATCGATGGAGTTGGTGCTGTGGTGAAAGTGTTAGCGCGACATTCGCGTTGCGGATAATGATGTCACACTGCGAAGCGCGATGTGGGGAAACAACAAAAAGATGGTAGGAGATGTCCAAAACTCACCTCCAAGCGGTGTCGTCGCTGAGATAGCCGTCATCGCCATCGTCTGAGGGAGCACGGCTCACGTTGCGACTAGCCGTTCGTGAGGCGGCCGCTGAGGAGGCGCCAGAGGCGATCTTTGAGCGCGCTTTACGCGACATGGTTTTGTGGCTCTCGAGAGCCTGTTTGCGGAGGTCCCGCATGTTGAGTAAGGATAATCGGGTATGTGAGCGGTCTTCGCTAGTTTTGTAGGAATATGTGCTTTCGAACAGCACTTTGAGTGCGCTGGCGGTTGGGCGCTTCGAATGCGGGGGCCGGAGGTAAGGTGATCGCAGTTATTGCAAGGGTAGATCAGTCGAGTATCGATATATGTGAGGTTTATACGACATGAGTCACAGCCGGTGGCGATGGACTGGAAGGGATGAATATTTGTAGGAGCAACGATAGGTCGCTGAGTGTTAGAGGACTCTACCTGTGGTTGCGCTGCCTGATCCAAATGCATGTGTGGCGCTAGTGAATACCTCTCCGTCACACGTCATAGCCCACTCTTTCAACGACAAACCTCCGCATGCGACAACCTTTCTACATGACATCTTCTAGGATGTATTTATTGTCTCAACTGCAGACTTCCAAATTGTACAGTCACACTTGGAATACGAGACTGTCAGGAGGCACCTGTCGCATGATGAAAAAGCAGATACTGCCTAGCTCTGATTGGCGGATGAACCATAGTTCTGGGTTGTACCTTCCCAGTAGTAGAGTCTATCTTTTCAAAGGGTCACCCAAACAGTTCAAGTTATTCTCGGAACTGAACGAACCACAGAAGTGACATCCATCTTTACAAGCAGGGTTGCGGACCTTGGCACATTGGGCGCCCTGGCTTGCTGATTAATACATAAATCGGCGTTACCAGTCCTTCATCAATTCTCAGTCATATCAACCTCCGCTACTCTATGTTTTCACACTCACCAATATCTTGATCAGCCACCTACATCTTGCACAATGTCCTGCGGTTGTGTAACGATGTATTCGAAGTTAGTCAAATGAGGATTGCACTTTGATTTACTTGTCACTGCTTTGCGTCCCCCTTCAGTCTGACCAACGCCGGACAGGTCTTCCATGGTATTATGCACTTCTGAATTTATCGAATCGTCGGTCGACGTAGATCTAGTATGTTGAAGGCAAACAGAAGGAAATTATGGTTAACACTGGGCTGCTACGATTGGTTGCCCAGCGCAAGATGATCACCAACAACAACCTATAGCTGAGATGCGGAGTGGCCGATGCAAAGCGCTGTGACCTGTCTGTTGACGTGAATGTGCACCGATCTCGGCCGTGAGCATCTGGCAGTCGCGACCCATAGGCTACCTGTAGTTCCTTCCCAAAATGCTGTTGCTGTTGAGTACCCGCAAGCGCTTTGAAGTATAACGTGAAGGGCTCCATCCATTTCGATACTTTTTCCCGTCATGTACGATAACCGGTGCATCGCAAAGGGCGGCAAGTCTCGTTGGGAGTTAGGCACTTATCCGACTCAGTAAGCAGAAATTGCGCGTCTTAGATGGCCAAGGCTTTGAGATGTGCTACTTAGGTATTACCGGAGCCGTGGTTGATGACCGTCGTGTGCAGAACCTAGACGCCGGAAGTGAACCATAAACTATTCACCAACGGAAAACATCTATACTCTGCACAAAATCTCGATCATTAGCCGGCAAATTGTGAATGCGATACGAGGGGGGTTACCCGGGCGCACAACAAGTGAGGTCTGGCAACGTGAGGACCTCTCGCTTAAACAAGCCACTGGACAATGCCGTCTGCAGCGCAGCCTCTTGTGGGGTGCCTTTGTGTAGGCTTGCGGTCTTAAGCGATGTACGCTTACTGCGTGTCAGATGCATCTTGACCTTGAAGTGACCAGTTGCTCGACGTCGCCACAAGCTTAGAGAAACGTCAAATTGAGCTGCAAAGCATGGCCAGGCCCTCGATCGTTTCATACATTGCGATCTCATCTGACAGAACGGCCTGTTGCGATTAGTGTGATATGCAAAGATTGTGCATGCGAGTCCCGTGACTGAGAAGCGAACAATACGTTCCACGTTGGAACCCATTCCAGAACTACCTATACTCAATACAGAACGACACCAGCGTAACCATAGCAGAATCTGCTGAAGACTGGGTAAGAGCGAGATCATAGATCGTCTTCCAAGAACTTGTAGGCAAATCGGAAATCTGCCTTTCTACGGTTCATCCTGGAATGTGTTAGCAAGGTCATGCAAGCAATGTTATACGAAGGATACCAATCTCTCAAGTCAACACCTCCAGAGCTTCCTTGACCACTGCAACCAACAGCTTCCCAACGCATCGTTAAAACCCAAACCCAGACAGGGAACTAACTTGCTATACAAGTAGTATCTCTGCAGAGTTTGAAGTGTCAATTCTGCAATTGAGTTGTGCTGCGTTGCTGCGCGCAAGTCATGATGTTCATGGTGGCGACCCAAAAGCATCGATACACTTCGCACCGGTGTAGACTAACCATGTACTCTCGTAATCGAAGAACCTGTACGTTCCCTGTTCATAGTCTTCGGTTATTGCCTTCGGTTCTTCGTGGCGTTGGAACCAAGTTTGGTACTGTTTGTGGAACCTCCAGCTCTGTGACTTCAGCGCCTTTGCTGCAAGGTACTGCTGGTATGTATTCTGGCGGTAGTAGAAGGCGTAGAACAGAGCGTCTGTTTCGATGCGAGAGTATAGACGAGGATCGTCGAATATCGCCAGCGGTTCCTGAGGGTAGTGCGAGGGTGTGAAGGGGTATGGGTTCTGTGGGCGGTAGTGGCGCGGTGCCTCAGTATCGGCGGAGTCAGGTGCGGTCGCCATTGATGCTACCAGCATTCGCTCGTCTGGAGGTTTCGTCGCAGACGCGCTAATGTCGTTCTTTGTAGCCTCGAAGGAATCGAGTAGATCTTGTAAACTCGATGGCAGGTGATAGACCGACTCCTCATCTTCGTCGTCAGCATGTGATTCACCGTTGGTGAGAGGTGGCGTTGTTGTTTGCGACTCGTCCTCCTCCTCTGCAGACTCTGGCGCTGGTGTCTTCTTCCTGCTTGCAGCCTTGGTATCTTCAGTTGATGCTGCACGTGATAGGCTTTGCTTCTCTGGAGCAGGTGTTGCTGGTACACTTGATGTAGCCGCCGGTGACTTGGCCGGTTGCAGCTGCAATGGTGCTTCAGTGGGTGGCTGTGCCCGTGATGCTGGCTGCGCATTCGTGATTGCTGGTGAGGCTGTAGCACTCGAACGTCCTAGAGCTAGTCCTGAGGCCAACCCTGGTGGCGGCGGTAGAGGCGCTATTCCTACTCCGTTCTTGTCACTCGCAGCTGCAGCTGCCGCTGCTGATGCATATTTGAGCGGCTCTCCCGGCGTTCGCGTTGGTATCGGTGCTGGCTTCATGGAGCTTGCTGTTGTATTTGATGCACCAGGTAAGGGCGTGTGTAATGTCGCCAGCACTGGTAATGGTGACTTGAGTTGTGTCGAAGGCCGTCGTGCCCCTGCTGCTTCGCCAGATTTTGCCTTCGTTACCGTCGGTCGTGATTCGGCTTCAGGCTCCTCTGCTACCGATTGTGTGTCTTGCGACGAGACACGATCTGCCTCATTGCCCATGCCGTAGATAGCCTCCTCTTCGTCGAGGTTGAAGTCGTCGTATATTGTGTCGTCCTCCATGAAGTCAGGGTTCTGGTTCTCCTCGACGTAGTACTTGATGCTGTCCTCGATCTCCTTGACCTGCTCAGTGTCGACATTGCTGTTCTCTAGCGCTCGTTGTAGCAAGTCCAGCTTGCCTTGATGCCACTTATGTCGTTCCGCCGTTTCTTCAAGTTCCGCTATCCGCTCAGCTTTCGAGGTGTCCGACTTCTTGCCCTTCTTCGCGCTTGCGTGCATGGTCTCCACGTCAGCCTCGATCTTCTCGACTTGCTGCTCCAGCTCTTCATTCATGTGTTGCAGGAACTCGACCATCTCCATTCGTTCACGGTCTTTAGGATCGACCTTCGATGCTAATGATAGCCCTTCTTTTGAATATGCCTTGGTCTTCATCTCCTTCTCGACGGCTTTGAACTTCTCCATTTGCTGCGCAGCATTAGCATGACATCATTCCCCACGATTGGCAGCCGCCTACTGTCTCAATCAGCTTCCTGTGGTCCAGTAGCGGCTTCTTGTCCTTGATCTCGCTCATGGCAGCCCATGTCTTGATCTGGTCGCGCGACCGTTGCAGCTTCTTGATCTCCTTCTTCAGCTGGTCTTCCAGCTTCTCTTTCTGGGAAGGATTCGACGTCTGGATGATCTTGTCGTATATGCTCTCGAAGGTCGCGACGCCTTCCGCGACCTTCTTGAAGCATTTGTCAATCTCCTGCTGGAGCTTGCGAGCTGCCATGGTGTTTGCGTAGCCTCGCGCGAGGGCTTGCGTGTAACAGGGTACGGGGCGTGTGATTCGTACGGAGAGAGTGAGGTGGCGGCGTCGACGGCGAGCGCGGGGGCGTTTGCTCGGTCGCAATGGGTGGAGAGTGTTTGTCACAGGCGTTGGCGAGCGTGAAGGTCGAATGCGTCCACAGTGAGGTACCGCGATTGCGGCTAGCGCTGCCAAGTCGCACTAGCCTTCCTTCCCCGCCAGCGCGTCCACGCGTTTTGGTCAATTAAACATCATCAAAGCCAGTCTAGGCAATCAAATTGATGTTGTACTGACGTGTAGTTCCTTCTTTTCTTAGATACCCTTAAAGTCGAACGCCTTTTTCTCCAAGATCTGAATTGTATCAACCTACCCCGCCATCATGAGGAGTACGTCTCTACTGCAAGCCATGCAGCGCCCAGCCATTGACTATGCACAGCCGTGCTCCAGAGAGTCAAGTCCGCGTCAGTCACTGTTGATGGCCAGCTCATATCGTCAATTGGGAGGGGCATCCTAGTATTGGCTGCAGTTTCCAAAGATGACACCGAGAAAGACATAGAGTTTATGGCTGCTAAGGTCTTAAAGACCAAGCTTTGGGACGATGACTCAACAGATCCTGTAGGACGATGGAAGCTCAATGTAAAAGAGATCGATGGAGAGGTCTTGTGTGGTATGCACAGCTGCTGCAGCCAGTATGCACGAGTCACTGATAACCTGCAGTCTCCCAGTTTACCTTGCTTGCAACTACGAAGAAAGGCAACAAACCAGACTTTCACCAGTCTGCAAGCGGCGAGAAGGCGAGAACTTTGTATCAACATTTCTTCAACCAAGTACAGGCCCAGCATGGCCCAGAGAAGGTCAAAAACGGCGTCTTTGCTGCGATGATGGACGTTGCACTGGTCAACGATGGACCAGTAGGTTTAGACTGCACTTACCCCCAGACAGCGAGTGCGATCCTCGAAATCTACGGCAGGTCTGATACACTGATAGCATGCTGACCTTGTGATCAGGTTACTATACAGATGGACACCACCCCGCCAAAGGCGGCCGGTGGCAATGCATAGATTGCCATTGGCGTCGACACAGCCCTTCTTCGTCTGGGTTTCAGCCTATGTGTAAGGCCATTTGGAGATACTTCAGGTATAACATACGTCAACAAGCTTGCATGAAGATGATCAAGTCTCAGCGTTTCAACTCCATAGTAGAAATGGTGTATAGACTTGATATCCTTATACACCACAGAACACAGGCAATCCCTTACACTGGGCCTCTCCACGAATACATCATGTCAAACCCCAACATTGATGATAGCTTATGGCACCTTGTGCTGGCAATTGAGGACATTGGAAGCGCAACATCTACTCTGCGTCGAAGTGACTCGTATGGGTGTTGCACGATCGTCAGCACTCTCACAATTGCTTAACAGCAAAAAGCACTGACTTACCTCATGAACAGAGCGCCATTAGCCTTTGCGAATTTTCGGCCTATCACTTATTCCGACTTTCTGCCTCATAACCTCTGCTTCTCGGGAGAGCTGGTGGCACTGATAAAGCAATTCAGCACCAGACTCAACTGCCGTGCGTATCGATGCCATATGCAACGAGCCTGTGCAACATCCGACTGCTCTCGATCTTATCAGCAGTTAGCAATCTGGACCAGACCGTGAGACCGTGACCGTGGAGCTGGATAGAGAGATCCGGCCAGGTGTGGCTATGGTAACGTTTTATGGGGTTGAGTCCCTTTCTAACTGTTCTGATTCGTTAACCGCACGCTCAAAACAGTCCCATGGGATGACGTTTTGGTTCGCCGACGTGTGGCAACACCGTCATTCGTGGTACGGAATGCAAATCCTCCGCAAAGAAACTCCACTCGGAGCGAAGAACGCACAAAGAGGATCGTTTTCGAGGCCTGCGATCGCATGGCAAATGTGGTCAAGGTGTAAGGCGACGGCGCGATGGAATCCTTGCATAGACAGACAAGATGCGGTTTAGTGCGTGTCAGGCTAGATGATACATATCTCAAGAACTTTTAGACCTTTGCTGTAGCAACAATCTCAAAATCATACTGCGTACAGTGTTTCGTGGCCTTTGCGGCCTTCTCTTCTATTCTGCTTCTTCATTCCGTTTTTAGTAGTGTCTGTGAGTGCTGCGCGGCGATGTTTACTGCTTTCGCCACTTGGGCGCTCGGCGCAGGCGTACGAATGTACTTTGGAGACCGCCAACTGACAACCGATTGCGGAATCGTTGGAATTATCGCAGCCTGGTTGGCAAGAGAAGAGTTGATAGTATTCTTGCAAAAGAGTTGGAATGCATCTGCAGCAACAGTGGGGTCTTCGATGGTGGTCCTTGCTCTCATCACAGTCCCAGTTGCCATCCAGGGACTAAGATCACGACGCAAGTCTAGCAATGACACGAACGCGAACGAACTACCCAATGACATAAGCAAATGGACCCTTCAGCATCCAAAGACCAGGATCTTTCCGTGTAAGACGAAACATGCGCGCATGTTCCCGAAACGTCACGCCTTCGAATATTCGTATCTGCAATGTGGGTTTCCAGTAATCCCTGGTGGTGTGACTTCTGATGGGCGCGACGTTGCGACTGGGACAGACCAAGAACTAGGCACTTGGTGGCTGCGCGTCAGAGCTGTCGACTATCTCACTCGAGGAAACGGCAAGATTGGGTTCTATGGAAAACTACAGACGTTCCTGAGGGAGCAAAATGTTGCTGATAACGATTGGTCGTACGCCTACTTGGTCACCGCACCGCGCTTCTTTGGCTACTCCTTCAACCCTGTATCATTCTGGTACATCTACGATCGAGAGCATCAGCTCAAGAATATGATACTCGAGTTCAACAACACATTTGGCGAGCGACGGATATACCTGTTGAACGGCACCAATCCTTCCAGTCCACCACAGACTCCAGGCTCCACGCATGAAGAAGACACTAGATCAGACATATTTATTGGTACCAAGTCGCAGTTCATGGATCTCTGGATGAAAGACTTTCACGCTTCGCCGTTCAACTCGCGCAAGGGCTCGTATGCGCTCAGGGCTCAGAACCCATTTCCTTACGCAGCTTACGAGAATCCTATGATCGACAACACAATTACTCTGAAGTCCTCTAAAGACCATGCGAAGGTCGTGGCGCGTCTGAACTGCGTTGGAACACCGCTTGATCCCGAGAAATTTGGCTTGTTCGGTGCGGCATGGTTTATATTGAGGTGGTGGTGGGTTGGTCTGGTGACCTTTCCACGCATATTGAAGGAAGCTTTCAACCTGTTCTACAAGCGGAATCTGCATGTGTGGTTCCGACCAGAAGTACTTACACCCAGCTTGGGTCGACTACCGACTTCATCAGAAATGTAAGTGCCACGGTCAAAAATCACGAATTATCGAGTACTGACCGCCGTAGCACAATTCAGCAGGTGCTTCATGACTACTTGACTCATCTTGTCAATACAGCCCAAGATGACTTTCGCATCATACTTCACACTACGATACCCGAGATACCGAAGCAAAACATAGACTTCACTCGCCCTCCCAGAGGACGCACGGTGAGGGAGTTCGAGATTCGCGTTTTGACGCCCGCATTTTACTCACGATTCGTCCACTACGCTCACACCTCGGAGGCAATCGATCGCGAATGCATCTTCACCGACGAGAAGGATCGAACGTGTTGGATATCGCGTCCAGAGCTGTTGGCGCAGCTACTCACTCAGTCTGCGTCTGCAGTATCTCGAAGCCCTGTTCGGAGAGGTCGACTGAACGAGTTGAGGTGGTCGTTACTCAAGAAGCTACGATGCGCCCCGGCCGAGCCTGCATACAATGCGACTCCGAAAAGCTCCGAGTTTCGTCTTGAGGATATCCGTGCTGTAAAGTACTCGGAAATGGATACCTTCGTTAGGAACCAGCAAGGGCCAATATATGTTGGCAAGTACCGGAGGATAGTCATCAAGCAGTTCCTAGCTCAGCGCATCTGCTTGGGCTTTCCTCAAATCATCAGTCTGGTTGACTGGTGTCTGAGGATCTTTCTGTGCTATCATGCTGCACGGCAGGTGTCGAGCTCGAGTGAATTCACTCGGAATGCCTTGCTCGAACAGGACTGGTGGCCGTTGTCGAGAGGTGTTGCTGCAGCCACTGCGAGCCACTCGTACGGGCTACTCAAGGGCTACCATTAGTATAATCATTAGTTATAATAGTATATTACAAAAATATCTAAGAACATGCTTCACTTCGTATTCTAGGTGCTGAAGCACGGATAAGATGTGCTTTTCCGGATGCACGGAAGTAGAGATAACATCTCGAAAGCTTTGCGGCATTTGTTTGACAGAGTCAGCTTCAAATATCGCCATGGAGGTTTCAAAACGATAAAGCTCACCGCTCCGAAACCGGCCTGATTCATCATTCGTACCATTCTCGAATCCCATTTGCGTTCCATCATCGTGATGCTTCTGTCAAATGTTCTGGCCATGCGTACGCCATGCCGGATTCGACAGCCGAGGTTATGCAGAGTCATCTTTTCCGGCCTAGCGCGATCGGACGCGAAATCTGGGGTTGACGACCTGCACCATCACATGTCATGCAGTAAAGAAAAGACTGCACTCACGTCGGCATGTGAAGCTGCACGCAGGTCGCGTGCCACAAAGACTACCACCTCAGCATAAGCAACAGTGTGGTGAGAAAGGGCAATTGAGCAAAGACACTCTCCAAGCTGAGGTCCAGCCCCAAGCAATTGGCACACAACGTCATCTGTCAAAGCCCCTGTCCGATGGTCCCCTCATCCACCGGATCTGCACCAGTCACGCGTTCAGTCGCGCGGTTTCCTTTTGGGCCGAGGGAACTTTTAACAACGCTCCAGCGTTAGCTGCGCGTGCTGGTCGCTGATTCACCATGCCAGCTTCCTCGGGTTCAGCAGTCGGCCCAATGGTGCCTTCAGCCGGACCTTCCCGAGCTCTGTGACTGGAATTCATGAACGTGCTAACTTGGCTCTGGGGTAGTTGTGAGATCTGCGGTTCTATTTAAGAGACTTGGCTGCTCGGTAGTTAAGTGGTTGAAAGTAGGAGTGTCATCATTGCTTGTCATTGTTCGAAAAGACGTCCATATCACCCTTCACTGCTCTCTTTGTCCCATCAGCGAAAACTAGAAGCTTCAGAGCTTCTTGATACCCCAAGTCACTATCGATACCAACTCAACATCTACATAATGTCTCACGCCGACGCCGAAGAGGCGCAGTACCAAAAGGAGGTCGAGGAGGTGAAACAATGGTGGACTCACTCAAGATGGAGATACACAAAAAGACCATTTACAGCAGAGCAAATTGTTTCGAAGCGTGGAACCCTTAAGATCCAGTATCCGGGAAATACTCTGTCGAAGAAGCTGTGGAAGACTGTAGAGGACCGCTTCAAGGTATGCCACTTGTTGGTCCAAAAGTAGTACGGGTACTGATCTTGAACAGAACAACGATGTTAGCTTCACATATGGGTGTCTTGACCCCGTGATGGTTACACAAATGGCGAAGTACTTGGACACAGTGTACGTTTCTGGCTGGCAATGTTCCTCAACGGCTTCATCGACTGATGAGCCTGGACCAGACCTGGCAGATTACCCCTACGTAAGTGCAATATACTTCGGACCTTATCATCAGGCTGATTTCCAGTAGACAACCGTACCAAACAAGGTCGGGCATTTGTTCATGGCGCAAGTGTTCCATGACCGTAAGCAGCGCGAAGAGCGCGTCACTACACCAAAAGCCGACCGTGCGAAGCTCGCTAACGTCGATTACCTGCGACCCATCATCGCCGATGCGGATACCGGCCACGGAGGTCTGACAGCCATCATGAAGCTCACAAAGCTGTTCGTTGAGAAGGGTGCTGCTGGTATTCACGTTGAAGACCAAGCGCCAGGAACAAAGAAGTGTGGACACATGGCAGGAAAGGTCTTGGTACCGATCAGCGAGCACATCAACCGTCTGGTCGCTATCCGAGCCCAGGCCGACATCATGGGCAGTGACCTTCTGGCCGTTGCTCGTACTGATTCGGAGGCCGCCACCCTGATCACATCAACAATCGACCCTCGCGACCACCACTACATTTTGGGTGTAACAAACCCCGCCATCCAGCCTCTCAGCGATCTCATGTATGCTGCAGAGCAGGCCGGAAAGAATGGCGTAGAACTCCAGGCGATTGAGGATGCATGGACCAAGGAAGCCCACCTGAAACTCTTCCATGAGGCTGTGGCAGACACCATCAATGCCGGTGTCCATGTCAACAAGCAGGAGCTGATCGCCCAGTTCAACAAGCAGAGCAAGGGAAAGAGCAATTCAGAGGCACGTGCCATCGCGAAGGGCCTGATAGGCGTCGATATCTTCTTCAACTGGGACGCCTCACGAACACGCGAGGGTTACTACAGGTACCAGGGCGGATGCCAGACTGCCGTCAACCGCGCGATCGCTTACGCGCCGTACTGCGATATGATCTGGATGGAGTCGAAGCTGCCCGACTACGCTCAGGCGAAGGAATTTGCTGACGGTGTTCACGCTGTCTGGCCCGAGCAGAAGTACGGTATCATCGCATCTTTTTGAAAGAATTCTGCTAAATTGCCTCTAGGCTTGCATACAACCTTTCACCCTCCTTCAACTGGAAGAGCGCCATGCCCCGCGACGAGCAAGAAACCTATATCAAGCGTCTCGCAGCTCTCGGCTACTGCTGGCAGTTCATCACGCTCGCCGGTCTTCATCAGACTGCTCTTATGGCCGACACCTTCTCCAAGGCGTACGCCAAGCAGGGTATGCGCGCTTATGGCGAGATCATTCAAGAGCCGGAGGCGGAAAACAAGGTCGATGTGCTTACACATCAGAAATGGAGTGGCGCCAATTATGTCGACAATCTGCTGAAGATGGTGTCTGGCGGTGTCAGCTCGACGGCGGCGATGGGCAAGGGCGTTACCGAAGACCAGTTCAAGTAGGCGCTCTGAGGTGTGCAGGCTATTGTAGGATGAACAATGTTGGATTTGATTTACGACACGCACCATCTTCGATACAGTAAAAGAGCCTTATCCACAGACACCTCGCTTCCATTGCTCTTGCACTATGTTCGACAATGTGCATCTTATGCGTGTGGTTGGACTGGTACTCCAACCATAAATTACCCACTAAAAACAGCTACCCATACCAAACCCCACTCAAGTTAACATCATACAAAAACCCACTCGACATGCATTCGTCAGTCAACAAGAGCAGATGCTCCCGAAAACTGGTTGAGAAAATCGAGTGTCGTATGCATAACGACCCGTCTATGCTTGTAGATGAAAAGCCTTCGAAGAAGAGATTGCTCGTCTGATCTTCATTCGAGAGCTGCTGCAAGTTGCCGCCCAAGGAAACGAAGACTATACTGGCTCTCCGAGCTTACGAACAACCCATGATCCAATCATGTATAATTTGAACCCGTACAAGATCCATCGGGAAGAAGTTCCAAAAGGGGACACGATATCCGAATAGATCCAAGGATCGGAAGCCTATGGACGCATTCATCATGCCTCCCATTTGGCCTGGTGGCAACGAATAGCACCCATGGCGTCAGCGCGTCACTGCTTTATATCCGACTCATATGAGTCGCACTGGACGTAGGTATACAGATTTTCTTGACAGCCCTGTTTGGCACATCCTTGAGCAGCAAGTTCTAGACTCAGAAGTCATGATCGACAACATGGTTTGCATCGCATTCGGTTCACTGACATCTTCTGAGAACGACGGTAAGGTACGCCGCTGTTCGCCAGCGGTCCGTCGCAGTGTTTGCCAGCGGTCCGCTGCACTGATTGTCCAGCTCATTCGGTTAGTTCGGTTTGCTTCCCCAACCCTTCACTGCTATCCCCTTCTACTATATAGTCTCGATCGATTCCAACCAATAGCTCTCAAGATCAATCAAATCATCTCAATCCTTTCACAGCCGCTATCAATAACACTTCCTGGCCTGCGCCATTGCAGACACACTCCTCATCTCAGATCTATTCGATCATAGCCTGCGACAAGTCCACAATGGCTACGAACCAGAGTATGCGCGCATCACTTTTGGGAACACCCTTCGAACTCATGACGAACGAGAACAACACACTATGCCACTGTATGGTATCGAATGACGAAGGCGACATACGTCTGGCTGCGCTGTTTGAGGATACACATATGGCTGACTTGCTCTGCAACAGGTGATCAAGGTTCCGACAGCACTTGGATTGGCTGGCAGGCATTTAAATCTTCGTGGGCTCGTAATGCGCCACGAACGATCTTTTGGTAATTAGCTCTTGCGTCACAGGAGAACTCGGCTACAATATTCTAGTGGAAACAGACCCTGGGATGCCTTTAGAATATTTTAACCCGTTTCATGGTATTACTGCTAGGCGCTGTAATCTTGTGAAGATTGGTGGTATCACGATCAAACCGAAAGCTCACACTTGTAGCGGTGTGGACCGCTGTAAAATACTGATAGCTACCGCAAACGATAACGTAGGTCTATCAGGTCGATGGAATACTGCGGTGAATTTCTATTAAGCTAGGAGGAGACAACTATATACTTGGCCTGTAACACACTAGTCCAGGGTGGTTGATCAGGGGTATAGTCAGACACTGTACGGACCAACCGATACCGCAACAACACTGACCAACTTTCATCATGCTAATGCTGATCGAAAAACTTACAATACTGAATACATATGTAATTGGGCATGTACATCGCTGCACTGTGTGAGTGTGCAGGTGATGGTTCTGTAAGTATCAAGTAGCTCGCTGGCGCCTCGTGGACGATTGGCTGTGTTCAATTCTCGATAGTGCAGTAAGCATCGTATTGAACTGCCTCAGAGTGCCATGACCTGCTTGATATTCAGCACTCGTCAGATATGGTCGCCATCAAAATGGTTCGTTCCCATATCGACAGCAGTAGAACCTGTTGGAAGGTGCTATTCTCTATATATCAATCAGTACTAGCGTTTTTTATATGTGCTAGTGGATGGATACTCAGGTTGTCCCTCTGTAACTTCAGTCAACAATCATACTTCAACAGAACCAACCCGCCGCATCAATGTACCACATGATTGATCTCACAACATGAGGTCATGTAGGTAGCCAGTCTGTGTTAAAATGATATATTACTCGGTTAACATACTATCTAAACGCTTGGTCATGTTTGCAGTTTCGAAAATCTGCATAGCCTCGCAGTCTAGCAGGGCAAAATTCCTTCATCTTCCACACTCCCAGTCTGGAGCGTTGGCGATGTTGGTGCGGTCGATCTGATCATTTGTGAGTGGAAGCTTGTGGGGATTGTGTCAATGTGACTTACGAGGGAGATGAAGTATAGAGCGCCGAGAATGAGCAATAGTTTCCAGTCGATCTTGCGGACCAAGTTCTTCTTCTCGATGCCACCGACTTCAGCCTCGCCATAGTGGGCCAGTGTTGCGTCGAACTTCTCCTGGCGGACTGCGCCGGACTTGTATTCGTCGTCACTACTGCTGTTGGTCATGGTGCTCGTATCGATGAGTCGTCCTTAGCAGCTCGTAGATAGCAGAGCAGTTCAGAGATAATACTTCGATCCCATGCGTCGATCAGGGAACGGAACATCGCTATATCTTCGTCCCTTCACATCTGGCCGCAGCAATTTTCGTCAACAGTACCTTGGCTTCCAAGCACCTTCCAAGCTGTACAAGTGTGCATAGCAACACCGGAAGCTCATTGATCGGAGGGTAGCGGGCTCAGCATTTCTTAGTTTCGTATTGATGTGGAGATGAGATCACTGCAAAATCGTGGGGATCGTGGGGTACCAAGCTGTGTCCTTCGTGTGTGCTTCGCACAACCCGAGCACCGGAGTCTTGGAATTACGAGGCATGTTTGCTTGCCCCAGCTCGATCAAAAGCAACGATATTCAAAGAATCGATTCTCAGATGTCCTGCGACTTAGCGAAAGCTGTTTGTAGCCCCCTGTCATCAAGTCCATCTCTTTCTGGCACCTTTGTTAATCCAGTCTTCAATGTCCATTATTTGCTTCTGTGTCGCGTAAGTATCGCACATCTCAGCTCGAGTGCTCAGTGCTATCCAAACGCCCGGGTCTTGGTCGACAAGAGAAGTTGCCAAATCGAGCTATCACCGTTCTGCCCACGAGGCTCGAAACCACGCAGACGTCTGTAGCCAAGCGTGTCAGGGGTGCCGGCAGCTGGCCAGAATTCCGCCACTACACCTCGATGGCTTCGAAGGTGTCTTGCTAGATGCGTACATGCGGCTCTTGGACGATTGTCTCTAGCGGAGCGGAGGAGAATCCGTCTGTCGTGGCGCCACTAACCACATTGCGGAGTCAGTCTTGGTGCACAGCTCCTCTCGTTCGGCCGATGTGGAGTGATCACCGCGCACGTTTGGGGTGCAGTTATTCGGCTACGAGCACCAAATGAAGCATGACGAGACGTCTTGTCTTGAGTGGAGGAGGGTTAGGTGCTGAGTTGAAGGTGTTGGCGGTAGCTACAGACGCTTGAGCACAGCGAAGATGCCTCGGTGCATGTGAGTAGTGTGGCTTTTCAACGGCTGCTGGCAGTTTTGTGGTGGTGATGGTTGGTTTCGTCCGTCTTAGGTGTTGGTGTGGAAGACGGAAAGAGAGTTGGGGTGCGAAGTTGGACCTAGTGGCTAGACTGTGTGAGCGGCTCCCAACAGCTGTCATCGGATAGCATCCTCGTCTCATCTCTTTACTACAACTTGAACAATACAGCCTGTTCCTTTCTATGTTAGAAAGAATCACACGTGCTCTGTAGCATAACACAGAGAAGTAGAGGAAGATGTTCAGCGAAAGGGCATGGACAAGTCTGACAAGAAAACTTTTCATTATGTACACTTGTCATCAGCGCCCTGCAGCTGGGAAGCTGCCCAAGCTGAGAAGCCACTGACTTATAAGGTATCAGATCCACCGACGGTGCCGTCTCCCTTTCCTTTGTTATCGTTATCGTAGTCGTTACAGTCGTCATTGCGGCCGCTGTGGTCATTATCGCAATCGTAGTTGGGTGGTTGTACTGGAAGATGATGTGAAATGTGTTGCAGGGCTCTACCAGCCGCCACCACCGGAGTCATTTCTCCAAGAAGCTTCACCTCCACCGGCAGCAGCAGTGTCGTCTCCAGCTCCCCAGCCACCGGTGGCTTCAACGGGACCACCTCCACCCATAGAGTCTCCCTCTGCAGGAGCAGCCCTGCAGCGCTGTGAAGAGTTAGCATCAGATCTGCCGATGTTGGACTATGTCACTAACCTTGACTGTGTGTCCGAACTCCTGGCAGTTCTGGCACTGAACCCTTGACCAGTCCTTTGGCTTAGTGCAGTCACGAGAAAAGTGACCCTGCTTCTCGCAGTTGCGGCAGGTGACGTTTTCGGGGTTGCGAGGCTGGTCACACTCCTTGGCTATGTGGTCTTCGGAGCCGCAGTTGCGGCAAGTCCTAGGAGGACGCGCCTCAACGTTAGGACACTGAAAAGCTGTTAGCAAGTGTAGACCTTTGTCAGAATAGTCAAACTCACGTCCTTGGAAAAGTGACCGGTCTCGTTGCACTTGCGGCACTCGACACCTTCAGCCGAACGAGGCTCGGGGCACTCCTTGGCGTTGTGGCCTTCCTGCTTGCAGTTCTTGCAAGCATGCGGGTTCACGCGCTCCTTGGGGCAGTCGCGAGCACGATGTCCCTCTTCCGAACAGTAGACACATTGAACGGCAGGCGTCATGGAGACATGCTCCGGCTGCTCTTGCTTACAATGCTACATCGTCGGTCAGCTTTGTACTGTTGCTCAGAGGAAGGAGTTCATGTACCTTCTTGATGTGACCCAATTCACCGCAATTGCTGCAAAGAGGCACACCACGGTCTTGGACAAAGCCGGCGGAAGCCAGACGCTCCAGGTTCTGTGCAGCGTTTTCAGGCCAGCCTTGGGCCAGCTTCGCACGGCGAGGCTTGTCCGAAAGCTGAATGGTGAGTACGAACTCGCGCTCAGGGTTGCCGATCATGTCAACAACGATCATGTTGACGGGGATCTCTTGCTGCTTAGCAACCAGGAAGACAGGAAGCCCGTCTTCACGGAGAGCGGCCTCGACATCGGGAAGGCTGAAGTCGTCCACAACGGAGCGAGCGTAGGCCTTGAGGCAGGTACGGAACCCGTCAAGATCCTTCTCCTTGGCTGCGTCAATGAGCTTCGCCCAAGCCTCCTCAGACTCAAGCTCAGGAACACCGGTCCAGTCGACGAGGCGGCGCTCCTTGCACTCCAAAGCCTTGTGGCCCTCCTTGTCGCAAAGTTTGCACTTCATCGGGTTGGTTGGGCAGTTTCGAGCTGCATGGCCTTCAATACCGCAGGCGTTGCAGGTGCCTGTGAACTCGCGCTCGACGCGGGGGTTGGTGCAGTCAGCCTTGTTGTGGCCAACCTCGCCGCAGTTGAAGCACTCTCCAGTGAGGCCGCCTCCAGCGGGCTTGTCAGGGCACTCGCGAGCAAAGTGACCAGTCTGGTTGCAGCTGTACAGAGGGTCAGCGTGGTGAAGTAAGGTTGGTGTAGCTGTCGAGTGAAGTTGTCGACAGCTATCTGGAGGTGGGAGAGGACACTTACATGCGACAGGTGTTACCACCATCACCTCCGTTAGTTCCAGCGCCAGCTCCATCGCCGCCGCTGCCCCATGACCCTCCAGCGTCACCACCAGAGGTGTCAGCGCCACCCCAAGAGTCACCGCCAGTAGCAGCAGCTCCCCATGTGTCGCCACCTTGAAAGAAATCAGCAAGCTGCGTCCAGTGAAGAGGCAGAGAACTTACTACTGGCTCCAGTGTCCCAGCTCATAGCTGTGTTGTGAGAGCGGAGTAAGAGAAGAGAAAGGTAGAATTTTGTGCGTGTGACACAGACCTGGAGAGAGTGCAACGCTAGCTTTCTGTCGAAATCCAAGCTTGCTATGCGCGCACTGCCAAGAGAGAAAGTGCCCTGTGAGGAAGACTTACAGTTTCAAGCGGCGCTCAGCGTTGTGAAGCAGCGAGAGACCAGCTCGAGCTGTGGTTGATATAGCAGATGAGGAAGCAGGTTGTAATCGTGAGAGTGCGGTTGCGTCGATTGGATTCGAGGTCGCGGCAGAGCTTTGGTGAGAGCGGCTTGGCACTGTTGTTTATATACAGCGGTGGACAGGCGCAACCACAGCCAGAGGTCTGTGCGGGGCGAAGATGAGGCAATGACGACGGTGAGAGCGAGCAGATTGTGACTAATACAGTTGATGCCACAATGCAGAGCAGCAGGAACTCAACGTACTGAAGGCCTGCAAAGCAGACAATGATGACAACAGGGTGCGGCTATGCGGCTGGAAGACATAAAATGAATGAAGGCATTGGAGATGGTGGGTGCAAACCATGCCACAGTGACTTGATCGGACTGCAAGAGCAAACAGTGAGAGAGCGATGTCGAAGAGACGAACATGGAAGATGTTGGAAGACAGAAGAACAAGAAGGTTGTGCTATTGAACACAAGACAGCGCACTATCGAGGTATAATGCTGGTAACAAGTCATGAAGCTCATATACAACAGACAAAAACGCCATCATACCATCAGATCAGATCGTGCCCGCCGCACAGTGTACATGACAGGCTGGAAACCATCGTACTATACATACCCAACATGCGCCAAACACCAGAGGGGTCGCCGTCACTTGACTACTTGACTTATACACCTCGGAACTGTGGGTGAGGTTAGCTGTATGATCTCAGGCATAAGTAATGAGGATGGACTTACCATGCGCACAATCAGGAACCACACGGCTCCAATGAAACGGAACGCTGCGAGACCAGCGACACTCCACAGTACGACTCCCAAGTAGATATTGGCAACTTGGGTCTGTTTAGCGTTCTGGTCTGCTTCTGCAACTGTTACTTCCAAACCGCCAGATTGCAGTACAACGGCAGTGAGACCCAGATTGCAGAACATCCAGAATAGAACGACACCAGATCGGAAACCCTTGTAGTAGTCTTCCTGCTTATCCGACGCCGACTGAACCTTCTTCTCTTCCTTCCACTTCGTGCTGAAGACCCGCAATTCATTCTCGTACATGGTGTTCAGGTCAGCATCGTCTGTCGGAGCTTGAATGTCTGCCTTTCCGTCGGCCTTGGTGGTAACCGAGGGTAGCTTCTCCGGCTTGTCATCTCCCTTGGTTCCCCAGGTGATGTCGTGCGTGTTGCAGAAAGCGTAGACGTTGAGAATGTTGATGTACGTCGGTGTCATCAGCAGGTACTGGATGAAACAGGTGAACATATGCCATGGATCAAAGAACAGGAATGAGACAATGAACCACATGAGATATGTCGAGGCCAAAGAGACGATCAGGTTGAAGAAGATCGTGTCCTTGAAGACGTCGGCGAAGCTGAAGCCCTCTGGTTTGTTGACCACCCCCTGGATCGACTTAACCGTGATGTATATAGATGCAAACATGAGGTATGTCATGATGATACACCAGAAGTATACCATAGACATATACCACTTGTTCGAACCTTGCGGTCGATTACCGAGCGAGAGAATGAAACACGTTATCAGTACGGCGATGTAAAGCCACTCGAAGATGACAAACAAAACTTTACCGGCAGTGCCGATTTGACCAGCCAGGGAGTTGGTGAGGATGTGGAAGACCAGAAAGAAGTTACCGAGACCAAACCAGGCGAAGATCATGCTGATGGTTTGGTAGACGAATTCGACGAGGAACATCGCCTTGCGAATGGCCGTGTGGTCACTGCGGAAAATGTCGAACGAGTGGGCCAGAGCGTAGACAGCAGCGAAGAAGGAGCCGTTCAGCCAACGACGACGCTGACCGATGAATTCTGCCATTGTGGTGGGTACGTCAGTCTCACCGTTGGCAGACTTGACGTATTGCAGGATCCAGTGGCAGTTCCTCTTGGAGACCAGCTCGAAACAGAGAATACGATCTTCCGCCAGATACATATTGGCTGTGAAGATACCGGCGTTCGCACCGTGCATCTTCTCGCCGGCGAAGTACTTCTCCAGTGGTCCCTGCCCAGTCTTGTCGTTCTGAAGAGCGACATAGCGATAGGCAGAGAAAGCACCAGGAAGGACAGTGATAAAACCAAAGGCTGATTCCAGTGGCTTATCCAAGATGTTGCTCATCTTGTATTCAAAGTTCTGGGTGGCCACAAGCGGGTTCAGAAGCTTCTTGCCGTGTACCAACATAGCTTTGATCTCACCGCAAGCGCCTGCGCACATGGGCTCAAGGTCAAAAGCCTTCCATAGCTGGTAGATCGAGTCCTTTCCAGGCTTGGTTCCAGCATCGATAAGAACACAGATGTTCGGGTCCAGAACGGTACCAAAAGCCTGGAAGAACCATCGATGCGAGTTGATCTTCTTCTGGTTCTTTTCCTTGAGACAGAAAAGCATCTGAACAGGAGTGTTGCCCTTCTTGACACCGACTACACCCTTCTTGATGTCAAGAGTCATTTGTGTGGTGTACTAGTAGATCTCGTTAGTCATTGTTCCGAACACAGCCACTTTGCCTCACGTACTTCGTAAATATGCGCAGTAACATCCTTGCCGTTGACTTGCTGCTTGGCAATGCCGTCCTGGTATACACCAAGACCAGCTAGCACAGCTCTCGTTCGCGGGTTGATCTTTGCACGTCCATCGCTGACGACGCACACTACAATCTTCTTCCACGCGTCCTTGCCCCACGTCTTGCTGTTGGTTCGTGAGTTCATGTACTCGATATTCTTGATGACACCCATCATGGTTCGCGCAAACAGCTCGTCCTCTTCGTTGTACATAGTAACGACGATGAACAGCTCTGTGTGCCTGGGCTTTGCGAACAGCTTCTGGCGCAGGGTGAAGCGCTCTGCGTCAAAGTCCGCAGGATCACAAGTGGCGGCCGAGTAGCGCATATGTGTGAACTCGTCACGCTCCGGGGGCTGTGCATGTGGAACCTGATTGAGTAGTCGCGGAGGAATTGGACAATCGAGTACCAAGTTACCCTTGAATAGCTGGACTTCCTTAACCGTCTTCCATCGCTTGATAGGTGCCGGACTTGGAGTGTGCTGGATGAGCTCGTCTTGAAACGGGTTCTCGGGATCCTGGTCATCCAAATCGTGTGGATCTGGGCCGTACGAACTGGCGCCTGTCAGCATCGGCCTGCCATCCTGCTCGTCTTGCCAGTAGTGGTCTGGCTGTGTGCCGTAACCCTGGTGAGGGCTCTCATCGTGCGGTGTGGGATCGTAAGGCTGGTTGTAGTATGCATCATGGTGCGCTTGAGGGTCGAGAGAGTAGTCGCTGTCATGCCGTTGCGGTCGCGGGTCGTAGTCGTCGTGATAGTTTCCTCCAGCGTAGGGAATGTTCTCTACTGAGTACTGCGCTTGTCAGCTCTTAACTACTCCAGACCATGCGCCCAAACCACCTACACTTGGCTGCAGAGGAAGTCTGTCTCCTGAAGCTGCTGGATGTATCGTGTTGGGTCCCATGGGGATCTCCAGAGGTCCAGCGTGCGAGCCATAGTTGTCTTCGAGCTGGTAGCCAGCGAGTGGGTGTCCTGGAGAGGGTGTTCTCCCGGGACCTGGACGGCGTGGATCCATTTCGTAATGGTCCTCGTCTGCGAAGATCCTCGATCAGTGTACTGCCTCAGGCGCGCAATGTTTGTATGAGCGATAGTGATAGCGATATGCAAAGAATGGATGCACAGGCGACGAGGAGTGCAAAAGAATGCAGGTCCGGTGCGCAGGGCCGCGATATGTAAGAGGTGGTATCTGGAGAGGAAGCGACAGGGATGGGAAGGTGCCTCTAGGCGTAGTAGCCGGCTATGCGTGCGACGCAATCGTAATGCGCACAGGCTCAAATCCTGAGCGGCGGAGGTGCGACTTTACTCACCTAGTCGGTTGTAGCCAGACATGATGCCGGTTGCTTTGCTGCTGCGCCTTCAATCAACTCGCGGATGCTGCGAACACCGACTCCACTGCCCAAACACGCGTGAAGATGGATGGCCCAGCAAGTCAAACGTGACTTTGTTGATCGCTCGAATGCGATTGTCGTATCGCGGCAATGTGAAACCCGTTGCGTTTGGTGGGAATTGTAGAGTGCACGGCAGCTGTTTACCTAGCAACGGGCGTTGCGCAGGACGATATGACGATGCTGCGGGTCCTGAACAAGAGTACGAAGTACGCGAGAAACAAGTTTGGCTCCACAGCTGGGGAACATCTACTCTTCAACAAATACACGGGGCGGTCAAAAGCAGCGCTCAGCCTGGCGACCAGCTGGCTGAGCAACTCTTTTCTGTGCAGCCCGGCCAAGCACAGCGGTGCACGCCTGAAACCATGCATGTGGCGCTGCCACATAGCCGCGTCTTCTGACGAAGCCCTGTCTATTTAAGGCAAGGCATGAGATCAACCCTAACGACTATTCAAATGCCCGAGTCCATATTGTTTGCCGGTAGCCGCTGTGGCGCCGAGAGCTTCATCTGATCTTCGTCGTTCTGTTGTTTCCTCTAAACATGCAATTTCGAGGTGCACAATCATTTGATCTCATTCACATGTGGGACGAGACTGGATGCGGCTGAGCAGAAGCTGACCGGCTGAGGCGACTGTACTGACTAGTTTGAGGCCTCCCAAGCGAACATTGGGCATAAAAGAGATTAGCATCGCGACTTGCGGCTCAGGACGGCACTGCTACCATTCACAGCCTTGTGGAGTTACGAGAGGCTGACCGCGTTGTGGTAGTATCGCAGCTCTTGCTGCTTATCAGTTTGGTTCGGAGCTTCCACCTGCCATCCCTAGTACCCACACTTGGTATTGTGAACGAACATGCTCTTGTGAATGAACATGCTGTTGTAAAACACCTAACCAGACTACCTACCACATGACTTTCAAAGTAAACGTTTGATGAAATCTTCCTGAACCGAGCTTCCCAAGGCTCTCTCGTACCTGTCGATCATCCGTCACCTGTCTTGGCGCCCCAAAAGTCCACAAACTCATTGGTACACCTTTCCTCAGTTCCACCTCCCATACAGCACTTCCACGTCCAAACGTTGTCCACCTCTAGACAACCGCATAAACTTCAAGATGGGCGACTCCGCCACCCCAAAACCCGTCGCAGTCCTCTTCGTCTGCCTAGGAAACATCTGTATGTCTGGCCCGCCCCCGCACCTAGTCATTCCCCAAGTCTCAACTACCCATATACACGCCAGCATATTGACATACCCCGGGCCGCTCAACCATGGCCGAAGGCGTCTTCCAGTCCCTTGTCACCTCCTCTTCCCCCAGCACACAGCGCCTAATCACCACAATCGATTCCAGCGGCACAGGCGCCTACCACGTCGGCGACGCCCCCGACCCGCGCACCATGGCGACGCTTAAACAAAACGGCATTACCAACTATAAACACGCGGCGCGGAAGTTTGCACCAGCGAGCGACTTCGAGAAGTTCGACTATATCCTCGCCATGGACGATTCGAATCTCGAGGACCTCGAGGACCTGCGGAGGCGAGCGGTGAAGAGAAAGGACGGTGATGAGGGTTTTGGGAAGGTGATGCTGTTTGGTGAGTTTGGAGGAAAGGTAAGGAGGAGCGGAAGAGGAGAGGAGGTACAGGATCCGTACTATGGGGCGAATGATGGGTTTACGACTGCGTATGAGCAGGCGGTCAAGTTCTCGAAGGTGTTTCTGGAGAGGTTGGAGAGGGGAGAGTTGAGTTAGGTGTGTGAACAGAGCGACATGGTGGAGAGATGCTTTTGATACCCATATAGATCGTTCGATTGACAGGACTGTAATCTTACATATATACACATGATCCTACATGCTCCAGCACAGCTTACTCTGTGCTGCTCCTCGTACACGCAAACCTCCAACGCCCCCTCTTCGCCACATCCTCACACTACGGATTGTTCTTAATCTGCTGTTCCAGCTCCTGCAGCTTCATCACCACCCTCCCCCTCATAAACTCACTCAACCCCAGCACCCCCTCCCTAGTAACCACCCGATAACTCCCACTATCCTGCCAACTCCCCTCGACAATCCTGCCGTTGCCATCAACCTCCAAACTCCCAATGATATCCTCCGGCCACGCAATCCTGCCATAATCCGGCGGGTTCCTCAAATCAGAAACATGTATCCAGCCGCCTATATTCCCTCCGCCGGCACCACCTTGATGGCTCGCACCGCCAGCGCCGTCGTTGGGGCGGCTCAGGTTGAATCCCCCCGGGGAGGCGAAGGCAGCGGCCTGCGCCTGTACCAGAGGGTCGGAGGAGGCGTGGGTGGCGAAGACGGAAGAGAGGAGAGGGAGGAATAGAGGATTCGAGGTGAAGGTTTGTGGGGTTACAGGGAGTGAGGACGAGGTTCCTATGGCGAGTTGGGGTGTGGGCGGTGTGGTGGGGAGGAGGGAGAGGAGGGATTTTGTGGAGTCGAAGGGGTCTTTGTGGATGAACTGTAACTGATGTTAGTATGAGTGGGATTCGGAGGTTGGTGTTGCGGGAGGTTGTGTACGATTTGTGGGTTCTCTGGTAATGTTGATATGGTTCGCGAGGCTCTGAGGTGGAGTGTTGGGATTCTAATTGCGGGCCGTAGGGAGCGCGTTGATCGCACGAAGGTACTCGATAGCATGTTGATAGTGTGTGATATATCGAGAACTACTGTTGTAGCTTTGTCGGGGCTCAATTGCAGCTGAACTCAAAAGTGCTTGAAGCTACCAGCGATGACGGCACGAACGAACATTTGGTTGTGTCCAAGCTCCCTCCAGTACTGCAGATCTCCACCAATCCGTCGCAAGCGCGTCTCAATCGTCCAGGGTCTCTGCACGCCCCTCACTCCGAGGCTGTCGGCAACGCATTCGAGAAACTTTGCGAGCAGCATGACTCCAAGAGTTCTCCCGTCTGCACGCCTCGACCGCGACTATACTTCATGAGTCTCCCAACCACTTTTAGCGCGCTCCATGAGTAAGAGAAAAGGCTTGCCGTCAGTATCCTGGCGAATCAGGCAGATGTGCAAGATCGCCGGCCGCTATCGGTTTAGTAGCTGATACAACCACTGTTGCTCACATCTCTTGGCGGTTTTTATCTGATCTTTTCATCTTGACTTTTTGGACTGACTTCTGATTTCCTCCACGTGTGGGCTTCACTTGAGAGTCGAGATGGCGTCGGCAACCACTGACAATGTCGCGCTTGACAAGCAGATTGAGGAGACCAATGCGCCCAAGCACGAAGACTTGCATCAAGATGTCGAGGTTGGTCCTGAGGCAGTTGACATCGAGAGGATAGAGGAAGTATACGTGTGAGTTGAATGATCAATTCCGAAAGAAATGGTGCTGACTTACCACAGCAAACTTGATCGTCGAATTCTCCCCGCCTTCTGGATCCTCTACTTCATGTGCTCAGCCATTCGATCCAACATTGGATTGGCGCAGACCATGAACACCAAACAAGGCCACGACCTGGCATCACAGCTTAGCTTGACTCCCAAGCAGGTTTCTACCGGTCTAGCGCTGTTCTATGTCTGCTACGTTGTCTTCGATTTGCCTTCGAACCTGATCATGTCGAGAGTCAGCCCCCACGCATGGATGAGTAGGATTGTCATCTCCGTTGCGATTATTGGGATGTGCTTTACTGCGGTGAAAGCTGCATGGAGCTTCTAGTAGGTGTCTTAATGATAAGAGACGGGCAGCTGGCTGACAAGGGACAGTCTTCTCCGTCTACTACTCGGTATCGTCATTGCAGGCATGTGGCCTGGCATGTCATACTACTTGACCCTCTTCTACCCTCCATCACGAACAGGCAAGCGCATTGGACGCTACTTCACTGCATCTCAAGTGTCCGCAGCCGTCGTCGGTCTTGTCTCAGCCGGATTCCAGGAGATGGATGGCCTCGGCGGGCTTGTTGGTTTCCAGTGGATGTTCCTGCTCTACGGTGTCGTTGGGTTCCTAGTTGGCGTCTCACTCCTTTGGTGGTTGCCCGATCGCCCACTGCCTCCTGGCGAGACTCGGGTCCGGACTGGCTTGGAACGGTTTCTTCCTGCAAGTAAGCCTGCTTTAACTGGCGAAGATGCGAGGATTCACTACGAAGATCTGACCAGAGTCTACAACCGCCGCCAGTGGGATATGAATGACATCTGGCATATCCTCATCGACTGGAGATTGTGGCCCTTGGTCATGATGTACTTTGGTGTGGTGGGTGTTGGCATTGGAACGCAGAACTACGCGTCAGTCATCATTCGGGGCATCAACCCAGGCCTAAGTGGCATCGACTTGAGTCTGCTCACTGCCCCAATCTGGATTGTAGGTTTCCTAAGCTGAATAAGATGAACACCAGCTAACACTTGCAGATGGATTTGATTGCCATTCTGATAGTCACGCCACTTTCAGACCGCTTCCACCACCACCGTGCCCTGTTCTTCGGCGCAGCTGTCTTGATTCAGATCACCGGCCTGCTAGTCACCACATTCGCCGGAGGTCTGAATTCATGGGCTCGCTATGGCGGCCTTTTGATGGTGGGCTTCGGATTGGGGCCGACAGTGCCCATCTGTATGGCCATGACCAACGAGATCTTCCAGTCGCGCCACGGCGAGGTGGGCGTGGCAGCGGCTAGCGCACTCGTATCTGGATTGGGCAACCTGGGAAGTATCCTGACCACCTATGCGCTGTATACGGGATGGCCTGCCGATTCTGTGGGTGTGAACAAGTACCGTAAGAGCAATCTGGTCATGATTGGCATACTGTGTGTTAGCATTTTGTCAGCCGCAGTCATGGTTGTCTTGCTGAGGGTGTTCGGCAACGACAAGGCTAAGCAGATCAGCGGCGCCAGCTCAACCAGCGAGGGCGAGGCTGTCTACCTGGATGGTGCTGCACGACGCGAGGTCCAGCAGCGAGGTTTGGGACGGATGTTCTGCTTCAGATAAGTTGTTCGACCCTGCCGCGGGCGGAGATGCCTCCCGGCTGCTGGAGTGGCTCGAAGTTACCAATCGCGAAGTCAAAATGCTGTGCAAAAGCCCATGAGCATGGTCACGAGAGGGGCGTAGCGTGCAGCGGTTGGAGCCGAGTCACGATCCTGGGGCTGACGACATGCGAACCGCTCCATAGCTCTAACCGGGCTTAGCCGTCAAAAAGGGAGACTCAACGGTCGCAGATTTTGTGTGCTCCTGCTGTAATGTTTCAAGAAGAGAGTGTTCATGTAGACTTCGCAGCCGATGATCGGCATTGCGGCACGAAGGTGGTCGAATCCCTCCTTGCATGGTTCTCACGATGCCCGGCATGCCCCTCTTCCAGCTTGAATCCAATTGTTCAGCGCATTGTGCCTTTTGCACGTTCGCTCAGTCTCCCAAGCACCAAGTTTCCTGCTTTCACTTCACCTGCTGTCTGCCCACGATCGCTGCCACTCTTCACGGCAGCCGTCTCGCTGCAGGCTGCTAATTACCCCAACGCCCCACTACAGCTGCCAGTCGACTGCCATCCACGACTCTCCGCATCGCCGCACGCGCAGACGCTCGCTGCACTCTCACACCGATCAGCAGCCCAAAGCTCAGCGGCTGCTCATTCACACGCATAAAGTTACACGAGAACCTCCATCCAGCGCGCTCTGCAATTCGATGGTCTTCCCCTTGGGGCCTTGAGAGCGGGGCACAACAGACGTCCAAGCGCGCACGTTCTACACCATTCGAGCCTCAACCACGGTAGCACGTTCCGCTATAGACGACAGCTCTGACGTAAGTATCCGTCCTGCACCAGCAATGCCGTTACTGCGGAAGTGAGCCCTCCCAACAATGACTGCCCCTCTTCACATGCAAGGGGTTCTAGCGTGGTGTTGTTGGCTGCAGCTTCACGCTTGCCTGGTGAAGTCCATCTTTCGGCACACTTGCTAACCGCGACTAGCTGCGCATACCCCCACGGTACACGCCCGGCAACTAGGCTGATAGCCTGAGGCAAACATCGCGTCCTTGAAAGCCTCCAGGGGAGCTACCGCCTTATCGTCGCCGTCATCAACTTCCCCGCCCGTCATGTCTGCCGCGATCGAGAACGAGGACCTGGAGGAGCTCTCCCTGAGCATGCCCGCACCGCGACGGGGAGGCGCGAGCACCACCAAGACGGTCGACTTCCAGGCTCCCGCCGAGCCTGTCCTCCCGGCGCCCTCGGTAGAACCGAACAAGGCACGGGACTCGAAGGCAAGCCAGCGATTAGGGCAGTATACGATCGTCAAGACGCTGGGCGAGGGCTCGTTCGGCAAGGTGAAACTGGCGACACATCAGGTCAGCGGGCAGAAGGTCGCTCTGAAGATCATAAACCGGAAGAGACTGGTGACACGAGACATGGCAGGCAGGATAGAGCGCGAGATTCAGTATCTGCAGCTGCTGCGGCATCCACACATCATCAAGCTGTGTGTCAAGAGATCACTCCGGGTATGTGCTAGACTGACATAGGCATAGGTATACAGTCATAACTACGCCCACTGAAATCATCATGGTCCTCGAGTACGCTGGAGGAGAGCTCTTCGACTACATTGTCAACAACGGGAGGTTGCAGGAGGACAAAGCGCGCAAGTTCTTCCAGCAAATTGTCTGCGCCGTGGAGTACTGCCACCGACACAAGATTGTACATCGAGATTTGAAGCCGGAGAACCTGCTCTTGGACGATCAGTACAACGTCAAAATCGCCGACTTTGGACTCAGCAACATCATGACAGACGGGAACTTCCTGAAGACGAGCTGTGGTTCTCCGAACTACGCCGCGCCAGAAGTCATCTCCGGAAAGCTGTACGCAGGTCCAGAAGTCGATGTCTGGAGCTGTGGTGTCATCCTCTACGTTCTGCTTGTTGGACGACTGCCTTTCGACGACGAGTATATCCCCACGCTGTTCAAGAAGATCGCTGCAGGCAACTACAGCATACCGAACTATCTGTCACCTGGCGCCGTCTCATTGATCAAGAAGATGCTTATGGTCAATCCTGTACATCGCATCACCATTGGAGAGATTCGCATGGATCCATGGTTCACGAAAGATCTTCCTGCATACCTCGAGCCACCGATCCAAGAATTCTTCGACACAGGCATCGACCCCAACAAGGCCATAGATCCCAAAGCCGTTGCGCCATCACAGCCAGCCCCCGTTGTCCAGAAGCTGCACGAAACCGTTGTCTCGAAGCTGGGCAAGACGATGGGTTATGCGAGACATGATGTTCAGGAAGCGCTAGCGCGCGACGAACCTAGTGCTATCAAGGATGCGTACTTGATTGTTCGCGAAAATCAGATCATGAAGGCAAATCGTAAGTGGACCTCCCCAGCTCAAGCCACTTTGCGGGGTGCATGTGTACCCCAGCCGTGCGTTTCCAGGCCGCGGACCTGGTACAGCATAGTCTGAGTTCGTGAAAGGCATGTTGCAGTACGCTGACTCTTGAGTATAGCACTCCTGACAAACGAGCAAAACCTGCAACCATTCCTAGCATCGTCACCTCCAACCGGTCATGACTATCTGAGCCAATCTATACCTCAAGTCATGGCCGGTGGCTCTCGTCCCCAGATCATCCCACCCCCTTCAGCCGACCACGAACGCGCAAGACAGGGTTCAAATGCGAGCAGTCAGCTTGCAAATGTCCGTAGTCCCGTGAGCACCATCGCCATCCTACCCAGCAGTCTCACAGAATATCACACTGCCTATATGAAGGGTCATCCAAGACCACTACCCTCTCAAGGCGCCGAAGGCTTACCGTCAACTGGACAGACTGAGGAACAGCGCGCCGCTAATGCTCGACGACTGAAGCCAAACTTCCGAACACTTCCAGATCCGCAACGACCGCGGCCGGAGCCCATGACGGCTCTGCCAGCGAAGAAAGCAAGACCAACCAAATGGCAATTCGGCATTCGGTCACGGAACCAGCCCGCTGAAGCAATGCTCGCAATCTTTAAAGCGCTCAAAGCCATGGGCGCCGACTGGGAAATCCCCGAACCACGCAAAGTCGGAGGTCGAAGCGGCTCGCGCTCCCGCAGCGGATCCCAAGGCTCCCAAGAACAGTCTGGCTCGCGATCACGAACCCACTCCCAAAGCTCCTCGATATCCTCCCACTCCTCCGAAGGCGATGCCCGCTCCGACGACGAAGACTCTCCCCACCGCAAACCCCTCACCGTGCGCAACGCAGACTCAGAAGAACCCCGTGGCCGCCAGAAACGCCACTACAACCACACAAATGACTGGGGCTACCGCGTCCCCGAAGACCCCTGGGTCATCAACGCGCGGTTCCGCAAGGACGGCATGTTCCCCCCCGGCGTCGCGCATCCGAGTTCCACACACTCGAGTCGCGTCGATCTGCACCGCGATCCTGAGGCCCGTAGACGCAGCTCTACGACGACTAGCAACTCCAGTCATGCTGTGGATGGTATGACGAATGCCGACAATGGTAATGAGGGCGAGTACCCGCAGCCCGACGAAGCAGTCTGGATATACATGTCCATCCAACTCTACTCCATCGACCGCGACTTCTTCGTCGTCGACTTTAAATGCGCCGGGTACGAACGCCTGGTCTCCAACCTCGTGCGCGAAATCAAAGCAAATCCCGAGGTGGACTTTTCTTCTTCCCATCGTAGCAAGCATCAGCATGAGGATGGCTGGGATGACGAGCAGGGCGTTTGGAGGAGGCTGGATGAGGGCGAGCCGTTGCCTGATGAAGTGGCGAGCGAATTGAAGGGTGGGAGGGGTGTGCTGAGGGAGAGGACAGAGGAGGTTGGCGCGGGACGGATCGAGGGGGAGAAGGTGTGTACGAGTCCGTTTCCATTTTTGGATGTGGCTAGTACGTTGATTTTGCAATTGAGCGGGGAGTAGGGAGGAGGGAGATGATGTGCGTGGGTGTTGAGACGTGGAGGTGGAGCGATAAAAAAAGATGTTAGACCAGCAAGGCGAATGGAGTAGGCGCAGTATGTAGACACAGGGATGGAAATACCCGACTCGATGTCCGGCGGTAATGTGAAATCGTATAATCACTCTCCCACCCCTTCTCACACAGTGGCTACGCAACCACTCTCCCAAACCCAAACCCCCGAACCCCATTGCTCACCCATACCCCCTCCCCAACTTCAACCGTCCCAACATCGATCGGCTCCTCCATACAAAACCCCTTCCCCAGCGCCCACCGCCTGCTCGTTCCCCTCTGCCCGCCGGCCCCGACCTTCGCACTCCTAACACTATGCCCCCAGCGCCCAGCGAACGGCTTCCTTAACTCGCCCTCGTCTTGCTGGCCCTGACCTTCCTCCGAGCCTTGATTCATCGGATTGCTCGCGCTGCTCGCACTGCTGAGCTTGAATGCGGAGGGTACGCCGACGGGGGGCGTTACCCAGCGCCCGCCGCGGAAGAAGTACAAGGATGTTAGGGTGCCTTCTGTTACTTCGTTGACTTCATTGTAGAGTATGACCTCTCTATGCACCGCGCTGGCCTGGTTGTCTGGCAGAGCGCGGGACCGACTCGCGTCGTACACCCCCCGCTCCGTGGTCTTGAGGAGTGTGTAGGGGGATGAGGGCGTTGGAGAGGTGTCGAGTCTGAGGCGCCATTCTGTGGGCGGGGGGGTGTGTGGAGTGTTCTTCGATTGGGAGGCTGACGCTGGATGGTAGTTTGGGGTTTGGTTCCCCGCTGGGAGGACGTCGCCGGAGCCGAGGGTGAGTGCGCCGCCTGTTAAGGGTGAGGGTTTGAATTCTTTTGGTTGCGGTGGCTGCGCGGATTGAGAGGAGTCGCCTGCGGGTAGAGAATGCGGGGGTCCTAGGTTCAGTGCTCCACCTGTCAGGGGCGAGGGCTTGGACTCTTTTTTCTTTTGAGCTGGATGCAGCTGCGGAGCTGAGTGAGGCGGATCGAAAGATGCCGGGTAGAGAGTCGATAACGGTACAGCGGGAAGGGGCAAGAAGTCCACGGTCATGTTCGCTGACTTGTCGAAGAGGATGCGTAGCTTTAATGGCCCGTCCCCCTTTCCCTCTTCTGCCTGCCACTCCTTGACCCTGTTTGACAGCTCTTTGTGTAAAGCAGGGCCATCAGCTAGGGCCGAGGTTACAAGGTCGAAGTCGAAGTGCTGTGCTGCTTCAACCATGCGGTCCCGGTGGTAGGCGAGCATGTAGAAGGGCGATGGGGTCATGAAGTTTAGATCTTGGCGCGAGTTCTCGGAAGAAGTGAGGAGAAGAGGATCATAGAGGAGGGAGGTGAAGAGCTGGAATGCTGGTGACGATGACATGTTGGATGGTTGTATGAAGGCTGGTACAGGCCCCTTGTAACGCAGCCTTCTCGCCAGGAGTAAAGCGAGGACTGCTTCGTGTGTGCTCGCTGGAGTGTAGCAGGTACGCTGGCAACGATCATCAGTAACAAAGAATCTGGCGGTGCCGGACGCCCTATGCTCTGTGGAGGTTGTTAATGTGGTCGACGGGTGTGGTCCACTACTTCGCTTCTAAACTCCGATTACGCCGGTCAACTGATGCCGTGATACCGGCATGATCTGCTGCAAAACATGGCAAGGGAGGGTGCTTTCCAAGCGTCTGCACCCCATTCAGATGGGTCGCAAAAGTCACGGAAACGTACTACAGGAATGTAGAAGACTAACATGGGCAGGTGAGAGCTCTGGGGTATGGGCGAGGACTGTCACGTGAAAGAAACGGTAGCAGGAGTGCGTGTGTCGACGACAATGCAGCGGAATGCGCGCGAATGTACACGGAGACAATGCTGGCCATTCCATAGACGTGCAGGACGGAAAAGTGGAAACTAACGGTGAAGGAGGCTGTGGTGTTGACGTGTTTGGCAAGGACGACCATGAAGTCATCCGAGCATTGACCAAGCTCTCCCAAGTGAATTTCCTACGCGCAGCTTCTGCAGCGCCCCATCCACCACCACCGCCATTGAGCGCCCTCCCCTTCGACATTGTATTCTCATCGCTTTAATATTCTCTTTTGCACCATGGCCAACGCTTCTGGCAACGCACCCGCGCCGGTGCTCAGCGCACCAGGCCCCTTCCCCGTAGGCATCCCCGAGACAGGCACAAGCTCCTTCTGGGACCGGTTATCGAACTGGGCATCCGAGAACAAGGGCGTCGTCTACACGATCGCCGGAGTGACGCTCGTCGTCGGCGCGGGCGGCGCCATCTACTACTTCAACTCATCAGACTCCTCGACAGACGCCTCGGCGCCCGGCACAGCGAACAAGCGCAAGAAGCAGCGCGAGCGGAGGCGCGAGAAGGAGCGGGCGGCGAAGGAGACCGCGGCCAAGGAGGAGCCCAAGACAGGTGCGCAGCCGGACGAGACGGCGCTGACCAAGACCGGGGCTGATCAGACGGCAGAAGCAAAGAAGGCGTCGGCAGCAGCGACACCAGAGGACGAGCTCCCCGAGGTCGACGAGAGCACAGTGGGCGGGCTGTCGGAGGAGGTGCGTAGACGTTGCTTCGGACATGCACAAGGCTAATCTGCGCAGGAGCGCAAAGACCACGCGGCCAAGCTCAAGGCCGCCGGCAACAAGGCGTACGGGTCGAAGGACTACAACCGCGCCATCGAGCTCTACGGCAAGGCCATCCTGTGCAAGCAGGACCCCGTCTTCTACTCGAACCGCGCCGCATGCTACAACGCCATGTCCGACTGGGACAAGGTCATCGAGGACACGACGGCCGCCATCAACCTCGACAACGAGTACGTCAAGGCGCTGAACCGCCGCGCAAACGCCTACGAGCAGGTCGAGCGCAACAGCGAGGCCCTCCTCGACTACACCGCCAGCTGCATCATCGACGGCTTCCGCAACGAGAGCAGCGCGCAGAGCGTCGAGCGCCTGCTGAAGAAGGTCGCCGAGCAGAAGGGCAAGGCCATCCTCGCTTCCAAGGAGAAGAAGCTGCCCAGCCCCACCTTCGTCACCAACTACCTGCAGAGCTTCCGGCCCAAGCCTGCGCCCGCCGGTCTCGAGGACGATGTCGAGCTCGACGAGGAGAGCGGCAAGGGCCAGCTGCGCAAGGGTCTCAAGGCCATGGGCACCAAGACGGCAGAGGGCTACGCCGAGGCCGCCTCAGCCTTCGACCGCGCCCTCGAGCTCGGAGACCTCGGGGAGCACGAGGCTTTTGCGTATAACATGCGCGGAACCTTCCGCTACCTCAAGGGCGACAACGAGGACGCCCTGCACGACATGGACAAGAGCGTTGAGCTCCAGCCTTCATTGACACAGAGCTTCATCAAGCGCGCCAGCATGCATTTGGAGCTCGGTATGTGCCCCAACGAAACCAACCACCCAACCACCCAACTACCCAACTACCCATCTACCCAACTACCCATCTACCCATCTACCCATCTACCCATCTACCAGCAGACACTGACTCGCAGCAGCCAACCCTGAGGCCGCCGAAGCCGACTTCGCAACCGCCCTCGCACAGAACGAGAAGGACCCCGACATCTTCTACCACCGCGCACAGCTCCACTTCATCAAGTCCGAGTTCGGCGAGGCCGCAAAGGACTACCAGCGCTCCATCGACCTGGACGAGACCTTCATCTTCTCGCACATCCAGCTCGGTGTCACGCAGTACAAGATGGGCTCCATCGCCTCCTCCATGGCCACGTTCCGCCGCTGCATGAAGAACTTCTCCCAAGTCCCCGACGTCTACAACTACTACGGCGAGCTGCTCCTCGACCAGCAAAAGTACCAGGAAGCCATCGAGAAATTCGACACCGCCGTCGAAATGGAGAAGAGCAGCAAGCCGCTTGGCATGAACGTGCTGCCCCTCATCAACAAGGCCCTCGCGCTGTTCCAGTGGAAGAACGACTTCTCCGACGCCGAAAAGCTGTGCGAGAAGGCCCTCATTATCGACCCTGAGTGCGACATTGCGGTAGCCACTATGGCGCAATTGCTCCTCCAGCAGGGCAAGGTGACCGAGGCACTCAAGTACTTTGAGCGCGCGGCAGAGCTGTCGAGGACAGAAGGCGAGATTGTCAATGCGCTCAGCTATGCCGAGGCCACCAGGACGCAGCTCGAGGTGCAGGAGAAGTACCCTAAGCTTGCGAGCAGATTGGGCGCTATGGGCGCTGCTGCTGGCGCTGGTGGGTTCGGTATGCGGTGAGTGACACCGAGATGCTGAAGGTTGGGTGTTGGAAATGTTCGAACTTGTAATTACTACTACTCTCCTCGGACGAAATGTCTTCTCATGTGTATCGACGTTGTAAAATGTACATGTACACCAGCTTGAAACGAATTATCAATCTTGAACGTCTTTGAGCATGCTCCAGATCCATTGCCAAACAGCACTGTGCGTCACCGATCCGTCCAGTCCAGCTCAACACCCTCATTCGAACATGTTCACGGCAACGTGCCTTGCCCGTTACCCCCTTGTCAGCCATTTGACCAAACTCCCACCACGCGGCTGGCACACGCTCCACCGACGGCTGGTAAAAGTGGCAAAGGAGCAACAAGCGCAGACATTCCTAGAGTTTGTTGAGGTGGCCTATGTTTGTTTGACAGTATACAGTGCACAGCTTCACAGCAGCGTAGCATTGAACGAAAGATCGAGAAATGTAAGCTCTGTCAGAGCGCTTAGAATTCGCATTATTCGTATTATCGCGAGAGCAGTATGTAGTCCTTCCTTTTTGCAAAGAAGAGAAGCCCGCCTAGAGCCGTGAACGCCGTGAAGGGTATCTCAACAAAAGTAGTTACAACGAAGAGAAGAAGTTTGCACCACCAGTCCCTCCACCATAGACCATGCTACGTGCCACGTTTCCCATGCTACGCACTCAAAGATCGTGTACTGTTCGTGACATTGCCAAAGCAACTGTGTCGTCCCAAATCAGCCAACGAGCAATTGAGCGGCCCGACACCCTAGCTCGGGACATTATAGCTCACGCTCTTGGGGCCGAAGATCCAGTCTAAACTCGTCAGTTCTCACTCACACCTTTTCGGTAACAACGAAACTTACACTGCGCGCTGTACTCAACCTCGAAAGCGGCCTTCTGGCCCTTGCACGTAGTCGGCTTGTTACCACCGGCGGTTTCGATGCGGTACACCGTATCAATACCGCCCTGGCTGAGACTCTTCGTGTCCTTGAGGAGCAGCCACTTGATCGCGCCCTCAGCGTTCGTTCCCGGGCAGGAGGAAGTTGGGGCGTCGGTCTCGTTCAGTTTGCCGACTACAGTCAGAGGGTATGGGGACGCGGAGAGGTGGTCGAGAGCGAAGACGGGCGACGCGCCGCTGAAGAAGTGGTGCCCGAGAAGGTGCTCGAAGCCGAGCGACTGCAGGTTCTGCGTGAACCGGGTGGGCTGAGAGGAAAGGGATAGGGCAAGCGGCGATATGGAGGGAATGGTCCATTTGGCGAAGGGGTCGTTGTTCAGGTGTGTGCCGATGTCGTAGAGGTTGGCTGTATAGTGTTAGACGAATTGCCTACCTCAGACGGAAAGAGGTCTTACCAGTTGCACCGGTTGTACCGGGAGCAGCGTCTTCGTCGCCGGTCGCGCAGGTGTAGTTCTGTGTGCCAATGCCGAGGACGACGTACTTGAGCTGCAGACCGTCTGGAGCTGGCAGAGCGCTCTTGGGCATCAGCTTGGCGAGCTTGTCGAGGTTGCTTGCTGGAGTGTAGGTCTGCGTCTGCTTTGCCGGGAGAGCATTAACTGAGCCGGTGAGGAGGGCGAGTGCCGACACCGTAGCTGAGAGTGTGAAGCGCATGGTGACGAGGATGGAAGAGATGTCGAGGAAGCTTGGAGGTGGAAGGTGGAAGGTAGAACAAAACTGATTGATTGAAGGTGACGAAGAAATTTCCCCACACTGTCCGCTTTGGCCTTCACGTTCACCAAGGAAGGAGGCAGTCAGTGTCGTCGGCGTGCAGCTTCTCCGATTACCAGGCGGTTAACTTTCTTATACCTCTTTTCCCGTTCACCTTCATCCCTGCTCTTCGACGTTGGACAGACCGCGCCTGCATGCTAGTCCACGCGCCATCTACATGCGAGTAAGTGGAGGCGGCCATCTTCGCGACCGGATCCATCTGCTACCCGTAAGGCGACATGCATCTTGGAGCTGGTGTGACCTGGGGATGCTCCTAGCGCGAGTGTAATAGATGGCGCCTTGCCCGGAGTAGCAGGCGGGTCCCAAACCTTGTCTCGCTGTAAGCGCTGATACGTCCAAAATGGAAGTGTGAACAAGTACCCTGGGCGTTACGGCGGGAGTGCATGCACACTGCCTGTCTGAGCCGCATGGCGATGGCGCTGCTTTTCGTGTTGAGCCTCCATTCGCACGACAAGGTCTTGTGGGTGTTGGTTGTTTGACATTGCCTCCACAGGATCGCGGCAAAGCAACGAAGTCTGCCTCACGCAAGGCGAAAAGGATGATGCCCAACAACAAGTATGAAAGCCTCTCAGGCGTCCTGTCGAGGAACCAACAACTTCAGGACTACTCGACGAAGCCAATTTGAGGCTGGATCATTGTTCCTTTCCTGAACGAACAAGAGGTTGGGTAATGGTCGGAGCTTCCTGCAGGCGCCATGCAGATAAACGGCTGGTAAATTGCCCAGATGCAGTCGAAAAGGCCGCAAATGACGCGAAAATAGTATGCACGAGCTATTGGATAGCCCCGCTTTTAGCTTGAATGTGAGCTAATTGTTGGCGGCGCTTACATACATCAGACTGCGGAGTCGTATGCTACACCGAAGTCAGCACACGCGGCACAAGATGATGCGGCAGACCTGGCAGAGCTCTGATAACACAGGCGACTGCGAAATATCTGACATTGAAGTTGCGCTATTGAAGGCGACGTTTGTAGAGTTGGAAGATCTGGAGGTCACCAAAGCCTGAGACCTCTATGCATACCACGCGCATGCAATCTCCACAAACTCCAAGTAAAGCAGAATACCTCAAAACCATGTTTAGTGCCTTTTTTGACCGGAGAAGCCAAATCCAGCGACACACTAGCCTCCTGCATGTCAGCGAAAGGAGTGAATTAGCATGCTTTTTCCAACACATGTGGAGATTTGGGGACCCGCATCACAAGCATGCTTCTCGGTTATGCGGATTATCAGTCTGCTCGCCGACAGATTCAATGCATGGTAAATCATGGGTATTGGCAGTGGATCATTGGCTTGGCTTCTGGGGGTCTTTGCTGTAGAAGGATGAGGAGTTGCTGAGCGGCCGCTAGAAACGGCTACGGGAAGTGGGGCTCCACTTTGACCCCCTCACCGATTTGCAGGTCATCCTGACAAGCAGTGCCAACAATGCATGCACTATCTTACAACTTGAACCTAACATCGGTCTGACATCTGTCTGCGATATTTCCAACATCCAACTGTTCACATAGGTCAATCTGCAGGCTAGGGCGGGGCGATACCCATAGAATGGCCACAGGATGATGGATATACTATCATCGAGTGCTAGCGCACTTGGTCTCTGGGCATATGCTTTACTGCCGTTGTTGGTGGGTATGTTCACATGCAAGCATATACACGCTGACTTGTTTAAACTAGGCTATCTGGCTGTATGGTGTTTACAATGCTTGGCTTCATCCTTTACGTCAGTACCCAGGACCGCTCCTTTGGCGAGCCTTCCGAGTCTCTTACGTAGTGTCGATGCACAAGGGTCAGTTGCACAGACGACTGAAGGAGTTTCATACCACCTACGGGCCTATCGTCCGCATTGCCCCCGATGAGCTCTCCTACGCAGATAGTAGAGCATGGAAAGACATCTACGCAAGCCGGCCTGGCCATCAGGTGTTTCCAAGGAATAGGACTTGGTTCAAGAAGCAGAGTCCAGATGAACCACTTTCGATCATGGGCTTTGATGAAGCTGCCCATGCGAGATATAGGCGTGCCTTCGCCAACGCCTTCTCTGATAAGAGCTTGAGAGACCAAGCGCCGATCATTGAAGGCTACGTTAACATTCTCACCTCAAGACTGCAGGAATCATCACCGAGCCCTGTGGACTTGGAGCATTTATTCGAGTGTGTAGCTTTCGACATCGGCAGTGACCTCTCATTCGGCGAATCCTTCGATTCTCTCAAGAACGGGAAGATACATCCTTGGGTCGAAGTAGCCAAGGGCTTTGGTAAAGGTATTGCGCTTGTCGCTTCACTCAACAAGTATCCGCCGGTGGACCGCCTTCTGCGGCTTATCATTCCAAAGAAGGTCTTGGAGAAGATGAAGAATCACGCGCTGATGAGCAGTGCCATGACGCAGAAGCGCCTGGCCATGGCTACCGACCGGCCAGACTTTGTGACTCCAACCAAGAAGTACGTCGACGCCAAAGGCGGCATAGAGGGTAAAGAGTGGGACATCAACCTCATGATTCTTGTTTTTGCTTCCAGCGAAACACTAGCCTCAGCTTTGACGGCCATCTTCCGCGAACTCGTCCAACACCCAGGCGCCCTCCAACGTCTGAGCACGGAGCTCCGCTCCACTTTCTCTTCAGAAGAGGAGATCACCATAGCCTCAACGACCCATCTGCCCTACCTAAACGCAGTTGTAAACGAAGGCCTCCGCCTCGACCCACCCCCCGTAATAACACCACCCAAAGTCGTTCCCCTAGGTGGAGATACAGTGTGCGGCCGTTTTGTTACAGCCGGTGTACGTCTCACCCCACTTACCCCCTTTCTTCTTCCCAAGTTCCCACGTCAACCGTCACATGTGTATCTGCTAACCATTCTATGCAGACCTACGTAGCCTACAACCAATTCTCCGGCAACCGGCAACCCTACAACTTCCACCTGCCCAACACCTTCCTACCCGAACGCTTTCTGCCGTCTCACCGAAACGAAAACGACAACATGGCTGCCTTTCAGCCGTTCGGTATGGGAAGACATCAGTGTATTGGATTGAAGTTGGCATATGCGGAGATGAGGGTCGTTGTTGCGAGGGTGGTGTGGAGGTTTGATTTGAGATTGGCTGATGAGCGGGATAGGTTTGATTGGAGTGAACAAGCTACGTATCTCACGTGGGAGAAGAGGCCGCTGAATGTTGTGGTTAGGAGGGCGAAAGGGCTTCCGTAGGGCGGAAAAAGGAAGGGGCCCTTCAGATGTGGGTTTCGCCAGGCGGAGTTACATGGACCGTCTGCGGTTCAATCGGAATGTGCGAATGCATTTCATATAGAGACTACCCTGGAGTGTCGCCTACAAGCAGGACCATGGCCACAAGGTAAGCTTAGGACTTTCTATTTGACAAGATCATCATATAAGACTCATAAAAACATGAGAGGATGTGAGATAAGATGCCATGTGCAATTCTAGTTCTGAGACAGATAACAAACATGTGTGCACATGCCAGTACCTGTCTCTCAGCTTGGGAGGTGCCCAACCAACACCAGATCATTTCAATCTGCATCTGCTGTTGTTCTCACAAGCAGCGAAACCCATTTTCTTGCACTCGAGGTAAAGACAACGGCCACCGCTTGATCACGCGACACCACGCCAAACCTAGCTAGCTGCCTCCAAACACGACCCCCCCCCCCAACGCGCAACACAGCCCTCGATCAAGCCTTCCCGCACAAAGAAAGTACCGGCTACCTCGGCCGATGATACGCCTCGCCCTTCACTGTCTCACGTGACACCTACGCAGCCTGCGAACTGTAAATGACAGTACAGAGAGCGCAATTACTCGGCGATGAGAAAGTAGCGAAGGAGATGCTGAGGACAACGAGTCCGAAGCTCGTCGGGCGCTGGGGAGGAGGGTTAGGCGGTAAGATTCAGGATCAGAGTGGGTATTCCGGGGAATGGGTTATCCGGGAAGGAGAGCTAGTTTACGCGTACTTCAGTTGAAGCTGTGGTGAAGGGGGGGGGGGGTTATGCACAGGCTCTTGTGTCTGAAGAGGAGGAGGCTTCGAAGAAGAGGATGTCTATACCGCATCTAGGGTTGGATTTGCGCAGAGGAACGCTGGTGTTGATTGACTTTGATGGGGTGAGATTGTTGTGGAAGGTGGCGATGGAGACGGATTCATAACCACAGCAATGTCATGCTGGCTTTGATCAAGCCCTCCCGCGTGACTGGGCGCGTGCCGTTGTCTTCGTCTCGAGTCCGCAGGATCTGTTTTCACTGCTTGGGTGGGATGCTGCGTTGCAGAGTGAAAGTGTGCGCCTAGCGTACGTAGTCAAGAACCGAGAACGATGTATGATGTATTGTGTAACCACGCTATGTCTGTTGCCTGTCTAGAAAATCTCCTGATCATCATACGCCCTCACCTCCTCCAAATGCGCCTTGACCTGTGAATAGTCTCTGCACACGTGCTTCGAATCCCATCCATCACTCCCCCCGTTGTGGTCAGGGAATGTGGTCTCCAATCCTTCCAGGGCGAGATCTGCCGAGCACATAATCGCCTGACGCATATAGTCGAAGCAATGGATCATGTGCCAGTGATGATCCTCGGGCAGTTTTGTGTTCGACGTGAGTCCAGAATACACCTCGACGACCGCATAAAGACAGTGGAGTTGATGCGTCATCGAGGTGGTGAAAACGGTCTTGTTTTGGTCCCACACGATGGGGGTAGGCAGGTCGTGGTAATCCTGCGGCCGCTTGATGTGCTGGAAGCCCATCCCCACCGGGATTAACTCATTCCAGGCAGCTAGGGTTTCGGGCTTGAAGAAGTCCGAGGTGTTGTAGGGCGCGAATGTCTGGTTGACTTGGAAGGTTGTAATTTTCGTTGGGACTAGGCGGTGTTAGTAGGTTGAGAGAAGCGATGGGCATCGAAAGGGAACGTACTGTGTGGACCCCAGCCGGTCATGTCGCCACCAACTTCTCTCTCGCTAGTTGTGGCGGCTCGTGTCCATTTTGAGTCCATCAAAAGGCCTTGTTCGCGGGCTAGCAGGCCGATGATGATGACTTGGAGGGCGATGACGATGAACCATCGTAGTGCTGATAGGCACGGTGGGCAGAGTACGTCTCTCCGTGATCTGGACGGTCGTATGTAGTCGTTTGATGCCCATGCCTTCTCACCGCCAACGAGAGACTCGACTTCGGTTGATGAGTCGTCGTCGTGGTGGTCTTGTGGCCGAACGTCTGTGTACTGGTGTTGTCGAGGCATGATGTGTGATTAGGGTAGTGACACCAGGTCTGTGAAGTAGATTATAAAGAAGAGAAGGTGAGCACAGCTGGAGAGCCAGAGGCAGCAGGGCGCCAGCGAGGATAAATGCTCAGAAGCGTGCGGGTGGGCCCACTTGGCTTTGTTGCGACCGGACATGTTTGGCATCGCCTGCCGCTCATGAGTCGGCAGAGCGCTTTCTCTTTCCTTCGAAAAACGAAAGACCTTTTCGAGTGCGAAACAGACACTCTGAGACGGTATTGGAAGCATCGTACATGTCGTCTAGCCGACAAGCGTTAGCTCGTTGTGGTGAAACAGGTAATGAACCGCCAAGCGTGAGAGGCTAAATCCGCCTCCCGCACAAGCGAGCATGGTGCGAAGCCCAAGCTGAACGTCATCAGGGATGTTGTCTTCCAGCTGCTGTCCGATTGAGAACATCTTTGGTCGTTGGGCGACGGATACGAGGGTGGAAGCTCGCTGTGATCTGTCATTGCGGGCAAGGTCGTCAAAGTTGTCGCAGTGTACGATGAGGCATGCGAGAGTCGGATTGTGGCTTCGGAGGAGGAGAGTGATGCTGTCAGATGCTGGAGCTACATATGCAACGACGTGTGAGATACGAGTTAGGCAGTAACGCAGTGAACTTGCTGGCCTGTTGTGAACATCTGCGTGATGGTCGTTGAGGGATAGAAGGAGGCGACATGCTGTCAGTAACCTGACAGGATAGGAAAGTGGAGTGAGACAAGATGGCGTGCTGGTGTGAGGTTGAAGGGTTCGTGGAATTTCGAACATGGTAGTGTGTGCGTGTAGTGCATGTTACCTGTCCCTCCGGCTGTGGACTTGCATATAGCGGTTCCCGACTACTCGTCTCCAGGTATTTCGAATCCCTGACAAGTTGTTAATGTTGACCTCTAGTCAACATGAATCTCCGTCAACAAGCACTGAACGTCTGTTCACCGTCCTGATGCGTGAACATAGCACGGAGTATGTCATGGCGGATTGTGCTCAGGCAAGAGGGCTGACCTTGGGCGCATGGTGTCACCGAGCTGGCCAACGACTACGTGCATAGCATCATGCGATGGCGCAATCTTTGATCTGGATGCTGCTGTTGGTGCAGTTGGATGCAGATGCATGAAGTCGAATAGTGAATCGTATGGTGAAGAAAAGATCAAGTGATGACCTCTTCAGGGGTGCTTCGCGTAGTTCGCGTAAACGAGGACGCGCTAGCCGCTGACGGAGAACGATGGCCGTGCAGCGTGTTGCTGGACACTGAATACCACAGGGGCTCGAAAGTAGCCAGGTATGGTTGTTGACGCTGGCCCAGTTCACGACCAATGCTCTGCGCAATTCAGCGTTTGACACACAGATCGCTTCTGATGACCCATTTTTCGCCCTGAAGGACTTCGCGACCCTCGTGAAGCATGCAGTCTGCTCCATGCTTGTGCAGGAGTGCAAGACCGACGTCGAGTGCAACGACGAAGGGCTCTGGCTGTGACCCCCTGCTCTTCTTCTTCGGAGGATCAGGATAGAACACCGTTTCGCCACCGATGCACCCCGTTGCAGGAGACGTAAGATACAGCAGGAGCGTCCATGTGGTACGTCCAGGAATTGGTGGTGAGCCTGGAACAGTAACATTGTTGAAGTCATCATAGTGCTGGTCGAAGAACTGTCCCTTCGAGTATCGATAGATGCGAATGTTGGGGTTGAGGCCGATGACCTCGCCGCCCCAAAGCTCTTTGCGTTGATTCTCGGTAAGATTAAGACCCTCTCCAGTTGCAACGCCAGTGACCAGGTTCTTCAAGGACGTTCCGCTCCAGAGCCTCTCAGCGAAAGCGGGGTCATCGACCTGGAAACGGTCGTTGACACGGACTGCATCGCCCTTCTTGGGCTTGCCAGGCGTTGTGGTCAAGGGGAGAGAGGACAAGAACGAGACATAACTCTTGCAAAGAGCCGCCGTGAAAAAACCGGGTATTGTGACGATTTGCCCAGGAAGTACCTCGTGCAGCGACAGGTCTGACTCTGGAATTAGTGGAGTGAATGCAGGCCAGTTTGGTGTTTGCTGAGCTGGCCGCGGAGGCACTGAACCCTTGGGTACCGGCTCGACCTTCCTTTTCTTCTGAGCCATGAGGACGAGAGGGTTTGCGGATGAATTTGATGTCGTTGTGTCGTAATTGGGTTGTCCCCGCTCTGGTTGGTGAAGCTTGGATGTGCCCTAGGTGGTCCCTCGACACTCAAAATGTGGCATCAAGGGTACAGTGATGGAGTCTGTATAAATTTTGGTGCCCGTTCTTCTGCAGTGAATGCCTTTACACCTGTATATCTGCTGTAACAGCCAGTGTTACTAACTCCCGCATGCACTGATCGCCACGATAATTTCTAGTCGCGGAGACGGAGAAGATGGAGAAGAGGGCGGAGATAGAATTAGATCTGGAAGGCTGGTACAAGCCTGAAGACCTCCAAAGTTACCAGCCGTATTCAGAAGAGGACTGGGAGCACCTTTTCGCAAGCGTAAAGGAGTCTTCCGGCATGGATGCCTCTGACGAGGCGGAGGACAGCAGCAGCAGCAGCCAAGCTGGCGGCCGTGCGTTCCCCGACAGCGGTGCCAATCAGCACCAGCAGCTAGCGCCTCAGGCCGTGCAAGCCTCTCACGAGCAGGGCCGACCGCCAACGCAGCTGGAAGACTTCACCGCGTTGCGCACTGTCGTCCTGAGCACCGCGTACACGCTGACAATCTCCGAGACCGCCTGCCTGGACGAGCACGCCTGGAGCCTGTCTGGTGAGTATGCGCGACACGCTGGGCGCTCCTTCCGCGACGAAGAACTGCCGGGTGCGCCGCCGGTGCCAGTGCTAACGTTCCGCGCAGAGTCCAACCCGTCGCTCGACTTCGACTTTCAACCGCTGTTTCCCTTCCCCAACGAAGATGGAGGCGTCAACATGCTCGTAGCAACCGGCGCGTCTCAGCCCTCGCCCTTCGACCATGCCCGTCCCCACCATGCACCCAGCGACGGCCCTCTCTCGCCCGTGCAAACAGCTGCTGCCGACATGGAAGGCGCCGCCTCCACCCTGCCAGCGACCTCCAATGCGCCTGCCGCGACCGCACCGCCTGCCGCGATCGCACCGCCTGCCCTCCCCGACCTCACCGCTGGGGAGGGCGCGCTGCCTGCCGCAGACCTGAACCTCGACACTATGGCAGCCAACGGCCTGCCCACCCTGGATGCGCCCATCTCGCTCGCCCAGCCCTTGGACATGGGTCTCGCCATGGACATGACCATGCCTATGCCTCTGAACATGAATGGCCTGGGCATGGCGCCCGACTTTATGCCCATGGACCTCCAGGAGCAGGACGTTGCCAGCGACGAACGTGTCAACGCCTTTGCCCGTCTGCGCTTCGACGACGGCTCCTACTACATGCACACCTACCAGATCATCCTTGGCCGCAACCTCGCTCTCGCGCGCAAGGACATGCGTCGTCTCGCCAAGGTCGACGACCTGGAAAGAAACGGCGATCTCGCTGGCGCGCATGCGCTGCTGCACGGAAAGAAGAAGAAGCGCAACGGCCGCGGCGCCCCCAGTGTCATCAGTGAGAAGGGCGGCATCGTCAGCGCACGCATAGAGTCTATGCCTCTGGAGTACCAGCAACGCCGCCATCCTTCTCAGTCAGCCAGCTCCGGCTCCCACCAGAACGGTGAGGCCATGGAGGGGAAGCCTGCCGAGCGTGCACCTCAGGATGTCATTATGCAGGCCTTCCCTGAGCGCCCTGACCAGTTCGATGGCCATGTTCCCGAGGACCCCAACGACTGCCCTCTCGTTCCCATACATCCCGAGCACGTTACCGCTAGGACCGGTAACTCAGGGCCAAAGGGAATCTCGCGTCGCCATGCCAAGATCTTCTACAACTTTGAAGAGGGAGGTTTCTGCATCGAGGTCCTTGGCAACAACGGGTTGCACCATGAAGGCCAGTTCTGTCCACAGGGTGCAGTCGTGCCTCTCGAACACGGCGACAATCTCTCCATTGGGGCTGTCAACATCCAGTTCTTCCTTCCTGACGTCGCTCTCACTGAACAGCAGCGGCAACGACAAACGTCCGGATCTCGACCCATGAGCTTCTCTTTCGAGAATGGGAACGGCGAGATGGAGAGTGACGAAGAGATGAGTTCTGACAGTGAGGGGCAGATGAGCATCAACCCTCGGCAAGTGTACTACCACCCCGTCGACAGTGATCTTGATTCTGAAGACGATGCAAACGATGACGACATGGATGAGTATGAAGAGCCTGCACCGAAGCAGAAGATCAAGATCAAGCTCAAAGCACCGCGTCCACGCGAGCCGTCTCCGCCGCCCAAGAAGTCGAAGAAGCAGAGGGCCTTAGAGAAGAAGAGGAAGCGAGAACGAGAACGAGAACTGGAACGAGAAGAAGACGATCACTCTTTGTACGAATCGCCCATCAAGAAGGCGAAGAAGATCAGACCTCCTCAAGAAGCGCCAGTCAAAGCTTCACCGACGAAAGAGTCCAAGGCGACAAAAGAAGCCAAGCAAGTCAAGGAAGCCAAGCAGAAAGAGATCGAAGCAGTCAAAGAAGTCAAGGAGCTCAAAGAGCCGAAAGAACCGAAGGACAAGGGCAAGGCTCCCGCAAAGGCACCATCGAAGACACCTGTACCTGACGAGGCAACTCCTGATGCGACCAAGAAAGAGACGCCTGTCAGGGACAAACCTGAGCCCGTCAAATCAGCCCCGACTGATAGCCCACCACTCCTACGCAAGCCACTTGAAGCTGAAATCGAAGCTGGCGGAGAAATTGAAGGCCTCATTACGGAAGAAATGGCCCGTCAACACAATCTACCTCCAAGCCTCGTGGGACACGTAGTGGAGAAGCGGAAGGGCCCTGGTCGGCCGCCGAAAGACGGTATCATGTCGAAGCGGCAACGCTCGCAGCTCATCAAGCAGGCCAAGGAGATCGAGAGAGCCAAAGCTGCTGGTATCGATCCAGCCGACATACCTGCCCCATCTATCAAGCCGAAGATCACTAAACGCAAGGATTCGAACGCGGGAGATGCGGACGGCGACAATGTCCTGGAATCGACCGAGCATGGCGATGGTACGATGATGAGCGACAAAGGAAAGCAGAAGCAACCGATCAAACCGCCGCGTACTCCGTCCCCAGAGATGCGCATCGAGGATTACAGCGAAGAGCAGTTGCAGCGTCCGTCGGCCAATTATGTGGTACTCATTCACGAGGCCATTTCTTCCTCTAGTAGCGGCCAGATGAACCTTCAACAGATCTACAACTACATCGAGAAGAAGTACCCCTGGTACAAGTTCAAGACTACTACAAGTGGCTGGCAGTCTAGTGTCAGGCACAACCTTGGGCAGCACGATGCTTTTGTCAAAGGGGACAAAGAGGGTAAAGGCTTCAACTGGCGTATCAACCCAGAAGTGTCCATTGAGAAGGAGCGCAGGAAGAGGCAAGTGAGCCCGCCGGTCAATCACGCTCAGCGACCACAATATTACCCACCGCCAAACGGATATCCTCCATATCCCCCTCAACCTGGCTATCCATATCACCCAGGTATGCCTCCGCCTGGCATGCCGCCTGCGCCCCCTAGACTTCCGCCAAGCATGATGGCTTCTGCCCCCCGTTTACCTCCAAGCATGGCTCGGGATGCGAACGTCGCGACGCCCGCTGCACCACAGGGCGCTCCCCCACCATCTCCTTACGCTTCACCCTGGGCTGGTGGCAATACAGCTGGCAGTCCCTCTGCGCCAATGCCTCCTCGCCCATACCTGCAGCCGCCTCATGGAACACCACCAGTTAGCTCAACAGCCGCTGGATCAAGCGGCCAGTACGGCGTACTGTACCCAACAAGTGCACCGCCATCGCACAATGCACATGCAGCTGCGAGTCCTTACGGTGGGCCATATACTACTGCGAACGCGAGCCCATATGGTACTGCACCAAGTCGTCCCTATGCTCCATATCCCCCCCAGGGATACCCACAGCCTAGTCCTGCAGGCCCTCCTCCCCAGGTCGCTCCGCCTGCTGGTCCTCCATCGCAGAGTCCAGGGCCAGGGCCACCGCAGTCTCAGCCTCCTTCACAAGCCCAGCCGAGTCAAGCGCCACCGGCTAGCCCTGCGCCCCCTACTGTCAACCTTACGCCTGACATTCTAGCTCGTTATCCCGCCAACACCAATCACGAGGTCATTCGTAATCTGGAGGCGTTCAGAAGCGTATACGTGAACAAGAGGACAGAGCCCGGCGAAGCCACGAAAGTCGACAACGCCATAAGAGCTTTTGTAGATACCAGCGTCTCTCAGGCCAGCTTGACTGATGCTGAGCGGCAAATACTGACTGCAATCATGAGCATTCCCAGTCTGGCCGCGTACCGAGCAAACCCCATCGCTGTCAACCAAGGGAACGCTGCAACCCAGCTTCCTGTCTCGAGCACTGCTGCCGCAGGTACTGCAGCTGCCATTGCAGCTGGCGGTGCCGCCAGCACAACTCCAAGCGCACCTCCGAGTACTCAATCTCAGCAGGCACCTCAGCAGGCATCGCAACAGGCACCACAACAGGCGCCGCAGCAAGCACTGCAGCCGCCCGCGTCGTCTTCTGCACCAACTGCGCCAACAGGGACTGCTCCGGCAACACCTGTTCCAGCAACGAGCGAGCCGCATAAGTTCACGCCCAACATGACGTCTGCTCCTGCTTCAGCTCCGCCAGCTCCCGCTGCATCGCTGCCTCCTTCGCACCGACCAAGCGTCGAGCCGCTCACGCCCGTACCAGGATCACCAGCAGCACAGACCGGAACGCCGTTGGTCAAGCGTCCAGTCACCGAGATTCCTGCTGTTGATCTGGCTGCGAAGGAAGCGGACAAGAAGTCCGAGGACGATACGACAGTCAGCAAGACAGAGTAGTTTTCTGTTTCAGCGATGCTCCGTCAACGCCTATCAACTTGGCACGACAACCTTGCACCATAAACATGGCTTCCTTTCTCTGCACATATTGATACACGCACTTTGTTTTTTCTGCTTCCAGCATCACGACACGATCACGGTCACGGTCACGGTCACGACTCAAGGCGTTCAAGGCAGTCCACTATATCCCCGATCTGCGATGTTGATACCCTACGGTGGCTCGTTATGGGCTTGGGCTTTCAAAAGTGATTTTCAGCGCAGCGGTGTTTTTGCAGCGCATGTATGCTTAGGCACCCATCAACAAGGGTGCTATAGGAGGACTAGGAAGGGCATACACTCCGTACTCGGATCCTACTGCGTTTTTTTTCTGGGTTGTAGGCATGCAGACATACGAAGAAGCGAGTCTTTTCCGATTGAACACCTGCGAGGATCCCACTGCTACAACGCAACAAGAAAAGAACAAGGACTTGTAGAGAGCAAATAGTACTCATTTCTGCGGGCAAAAATGTCGTTAGTTGGGGCGGTCCGCAAGGATACCGCTGGAGATTCGCGGTTTGCGGTTGATGTGGACAAGCTTCTGAGTATTTAAAGGTTCATTGATTTCAAAGATATACATGCATCAAACTCTTATTCTGCGCACTTCGAGAACTGTGAGTGATGTATGAATGAGAATCGGGACTCAATTATGGACTTTGAAGTATCTTAATCGTCTCTTAATTTGCGAGGTATATCGTTTCGCACAGCTCGCAATGCCAACACATAGCCGGCTTGTAGATAGTGCAGGCACACAGCCTTGAGGAAATCCAAGCGGTAGGGAAAGACCAAGTCAACACAAGCTCCCGTGAAATCGCCATAGGCCGCACGTGTCTTCCGCCCTTGTAGCGCAAAAAGCCTCTATCTCTCATATTTCAAATGGCTATCGGGCAGCCAGGTCGTCCGTCTCCCGCAGTTGTGACGTGTGGTAAGTATGCTCGCAGCAGGCACCCTCACTGCGCTCACATAGCCATCTCAGCCTGCAGCTTCCTCAGCTCCTCCTCTTCGTCGTCTTCCTCCACTCTCTGCGCCTTGCCCCTGACCTCTGTCGCTGGCGCCGCCGGTAGTCTTCCTACCGCCACCTTGTCGCCTACAGGGACGTTGCCGGTCTTCAGCATGTCCTCATCCAGCTTCTCTTGTTGCAGTTCGGCGAGCTCCTCGTCTAGCTCGTCTTCGTCGATACCGCTGGTTGTTACGCCCGAGGTTATTGCTTCGCTGATTTCTTCACCGATGGCGTGCTGTTCGCGGAGGCCTTCCCTGTGTGTTTGTCAGTACTTACTGTTCTCCAAAAGTGAGAGTTGAGAGAGAGGCGGAGTGTAAGGTAGTGCATGTCGGGGACGTACATTACATCGTCGACCTTGTCGATCGTCAGACCGGCGTGTATCTGCTTCATAGCCGTGCCGGCGTTCTTCATCGCGTCCAGTGTCTCCTTGTTTATATTCGCCGTCTCGATGGAATATATCTCGCGCTCGAGCGTCATGATCTGTGAGGATGTCTGTTCGAGGGAGTGCTCGAACTGCTTCTTTCGTCGTAGTGCTGCCTTTGCCGCTGTTCACATGTCAGTATGCCTCACGCAGTAGAAACGTTGGGTGGGGGCATACCGGCTTTGTTCGAAGAAACATGTTTCCGTGCAAGCGCGTCTTGCTCGTCCATCTGGTTTTGCAGGTGCTTCTCGCGCTTGTTCAACATCTCGAGCTGGCCGCGCAGTTGAAGGATAGCCTTCTTTGGCGCCTCCTTCTTGGCTTGGCCGCCGCCAAACCAGCCGAGGCCCCAGCCAGACATGGCGATAGTAGGTTCTGGTGATTTTCTTCAGTATGGACGTCTAAGGTGAACGTGTTATGGGGCGCGGTGGAGGCCAAAGTGGGTTATCAGGCGGGAGAAGGGCGGGGCAGACGATGGCGGGGAAACACTCACTCTTTGAGATTTAAGGGAAAAAGTCAAGAGGGAGTTGGAAGGAGAGTGTCGAGAGTGTCAGCGGTGTGCGCGGTGGTGTTGTGGTGTTTTGTTGGTGCCTGGTGGATGTAAGTCAGTATCGGGCATGTGCATGAACCAGGAGATGCTATGAGGTCAGTTGCGCTAGTGATGGCACGTGCTTGCTTGGCCTCGGCTCCAGTGACCAGGGTTTCGTTCAGCTCATGAACACTACATCAGACGATATGTCTGGACCTGTTGCATCGAATCTCGTCCTGCTGAGCGACCTGAAGACGACTGCACATGGGACCAAGGTCCGTATCCTGGGCTGGTATTGGTCTTGACTCTTTGTTAAAGTGCCGAAGCTGATTGTGGCAGCGTTGATGAGTATGTGGTCCAGACAGCGACCCTTCGACTGAAGCACAATTACCCCGCAGCCAGCTCCGCAGAAGTTGCGAATGTCGATATCATTCATGTTCTGGAACGCATCAAGAGTCGTGAGATGGAAGTTGGCACCTGGATCAACGTGATTGGCTATGTCGAGCGGCGAAAAGACAAAGGAGTGTTTGTGCAAGCCATCGCAGTCTGGGACGCCGGGAATATCGACTTGAGCGCATACGAGAAGGCTGCCGAAGCTAGGAAGGCCGCTGCATGAACTCGTAAGATTTTCTAAGGGGGTTTAATTAGCAAGTGAAACCTTTCCTTGTGTCATTTCTATGTCCAACTTTAAGTCTATCCGCCTTTTCTGGTCTCCCTAGACCGTTCCAGAGTCCCATAGCCTGGAGGCCTTCAAGGAGCATATCGTCGCCATCCATGGCCTAATCCGTCATTGTGGTGGTACTCAGCGCAAGCGACATGAGCGTCTGTGGACCAAGAAGGCATCCTGGAGATCTTCAGTTAGCTTTGGATCTTAAAAATAGCCGCGAAAGGATTCCATGTCCACTCCAGTACAACGCGCTCGTGGTAGGATTAGACAAGAGCGGTCTTCCTGCGCCAGTCTCCACAGGCCTGCAGCAGTGAGTCTGGAGGTAGTCGAAGAGCATACAGTGACCATTGGCGGAGCGAGAGCGTGTCTTGGAGGCTGTGAGAACGCAAATTTTGACTCTGCGCTCGTTCCAAGAGAGCTCTGGGGAACTTCGATGGCCCTACTGCAAGCGAGCGCCAAACGAGAGTCCGTCCTGCAGGTATACAAGGCGTCGCCGCGTGCTGTGGAAGGGCACTGAAGTAGATGACCTACCTACAAGCTCTTCTTCTCCTCGTCGCCATTCTTGTCGTCCGCCTCCGGCAACTTCTGTTGGCTGGCGGTGGCGGTCTCAGCGGTGGCTATTGGCTGATGTCGCTGCCGCTCTTGCTGCCGCTGTCCTTGCTGCTGCCGTCCTTGCTCCTGCTGTCCTTGCTGCTGCAGCTCTTGCTCCTGGTAATCGCGGAACTACGGTACTGTCAACATGTGATTGTCACACTTGAGAGACCCAAAATACGTTCTGGGCGGCGGAGTCGTCTCCAGCCCGCTGGTCCTTGAAGCAGCTCTCTGCAGGCGATGGTCAATAGTCTACGATACGAAGTTCGGCTGCCACTACTACGTACTGGCTGCGTCTGCGAATCGGCGCCACATTGTCATTGTGTAGTTGAGAATATTGGGTACTTTGTGTGTTCAGCGTACTTACAGCTCCGAATTGCACACCTTCGGCGACCATATTCTGCTTTCACAGCGATAGCGGCGGGTACAGCCGCCTGGCACATTCACTTTCACCTGATCTTTCATTACGCTGTGCAGAGGGCAGTGGTATATTCTTCACGTCCGAAATGCCAAAGTCGAACGTTATTCGGTCACTTCTGGAGTCTGTTAATGAGCTTACAGAATAAACCGGAAACTTTTCGAGACTCTCTGGAGGTTGTCAATAGTTGTTTCCCTGTGGTAGTGGTACTACAAGAGGCATTTGAAGACTACATTTCTTGGCGCAACCACAAGTCTTCTTGGTTACCGAAATAGCGCGAGGGTCCAGCTCCACCGCACTCTGGAGGGGTTCAATTACCTTACGAGGCGCTGTTGGACTTAGATGGCAGACCATGGAGCGGTTCAATGATGATGTACTTCAAGCTCAAGGATGGTCTAGAGAAAATTTCGACTACGCCTGATACTGTCAGCACTGATTGCAGAATGCAGTCAACAAACGTAAGATAGTTTTTGAACCAATACTGTCTGACAACTTCTAGCATGCGTTGCTCGATCGGCTAGCCTGTGGATCGTTAATCGTCTGTTTCTTCACACATAAAGACTAAATTCCAGCTGTTACTGCCCAGCAATTTGCTGAACTTCATAACAACCAAAACGCTCATCCCGATCACAGCCTCATACTACGTATCGAAGAGGGCAGCGATGACGTTCAAGTCCCACGATCTGCTTCACCAAGCGACGCGGGAAGCCGCATCAAGTGCGACGGCTCACAGCATTCTATCCTATCGAAGTCTACCGTTACACTGGCACAAAGACCCAACGTGGAAGGTCATTAGTAGGTCGAGCACATGTAGTGTTTCCAAGTCTGCTTTGTATAACTTATCAGGGGCGGCTGTCACCCGAGTGATGAAGTTATAAGATTCGCGTCTGCTGTTTCCGTGGGCTCTTCTCTACGTCGCTTGTCATGGCTACACAAACACTCACTTCGTCTCAGGCAACAACATCGAATGCGATGTCGTTTGATACAGAGAAAGCTGCTCCGACGACTGCTGCAGGGAAACAACCGACCTTGCCGCCTTTGGATCCTTTTCGTGACCTTGTGGCTGGATATCCAAAACTCGCAGGTCACATGGGCTCCTCGCCTGAGATCGCAATGTTTCGAAGATTCGGCGCCTTGAACGCCCGCAACCTGTTGTATATGCAGAATGATCTGGTAGTGCTGGAAAACAAGCTAAGAGTTATTGAGTTTGAGGACTCAAAAAGCCCTGACGGAAAGAAGGAACGATACAGACGAGACGCCTATTGGCTAAGCACTGCGGACATACAGATCAACGGTGCTCTAAGAGACGGCGACACCCGACAGCGTGATTTGATACTGCAAATGAGATCTTTACTGAATGAGTACAGTAAGTCGACATACCTCCTTCAAGTGCACGACTTCCCAGTATCTCAACAAGACCAGATCACGCGCTCATCCAGCAAGCCACAATACTCCGCGAGATGAAGAAACCTGATCCATACGATATCTACGACATACAAAACCTCATAGCCAGCGACGACATGAAACAACCCTTCATAGGCTTCGACCGCGGGACGTGGGGCGGAGCCGTGAATGCAGAAACCAGAAAAGCATATAGCAGAGAACTACTCGTACTTCGACCCCGCAAAGACATGGATACTTTATCCCGTATAGTCGGTACAAGGGCCATCAAGTGGATGATGGCGTGTGGAGGCAACAGGTGGAAAAAACCAGATGTTCGGTTCGGCATGATCGCTGTGCACGATAGCACCGTCTTCAGGCTTACGTTCTGGTTCACAAGTGGCGTGGCCTCGATACTGCCAGTCATCTCTATCATTTTGCTGGTCAATATGGAGTCGCTGAATGGGAGGCTTGGGGTCATCGCTGCGTTCAATGTTCTCATCTCGATATGCCTCACTTTGTTCACGGAGGCGAGGAGAACCGATGTGTTTGCTGTCACAGCTGCGTATGACAACTCTCATCCTTGTGAAAAGCCTACCGCTGACATATATCAGCTTCGCCGCTGTTCAAGTTGTCTTCGTTGGTCAAGTCCTTGAGAAAGCGCCGCAGGAGGTGATCATCGCAGGGTCAAAAGTTGCTGGCTGCGCTTGTTGAACGATAGCTCTTCGTCAACAGGATTGACAACATATATTCTCACAGACCAACTCACATATCTTGTGCTACTGAACCAAAAGAATCACATCCTCTAGCGGTTAATGATAAGTGGAAGGATGCTATGTTGTTAGGTTGGCATACTGCAGGCAGTCGAAAGCTTATGTTGACGAGACGCTGGAGTCTACGGGCAACCTTCGGATGATCTTGCAGCATCGCGAAGACGAGGTGTCCCAGTGCCGCTTGAAGGACGGCGGGTCTGTTGGGGACACTCGCTTATATACCCAACAGATATGTTCCTCTTGGTGATCGACAAGTGTGAAAAGGTAAGATTTTCTATGGCAATTCTTCGATCAGTCGCGGTTGTATCTCCATTGGTTTTACCTCTTCTCGAAGCGCTTATAAGTGATCTCGATAACCTCCAAGTGCCGCCTTTAGGCTGAAGAAGTTCTAGAGTGATCGCTACAGACGCCACAGGCGGTACTTGAGGGTACCGGAAGTGACGTACAATTTACGAAATCGCTCTAAATTACCGACAAGTTAATACGCAAATTGATTGAACGAGGGTGGCTGAAGCATGCCGACAAGCTTGTCATCTGGAATTATGTCCAACTGCTGTTGTCAGCTATTATTGAAACTCAAGATACGAATCGAAGTCAAGCGCTCCAGGCTTGCCAGCGCACTTTGACATGCGATGACACCTCAGACAGATATCGCGGAATGTACCTTAGAGGTAGTGCTAGGAAGCGTCCTTATAAGTCGACTTCGGTAGTGCAGACAGAGTACCTCTACACACCGGTCTTGGCGAGACCGGCGGGAGGCGTAGAACTATACATGCAGGCGAGCAGAAGGAGCTCCTTAGTGTAGTAGACTCGCTGCATCTCCTCCAACACGTTGGCCACGCCGACGTTGTTGTGTGAATACGTCAAACGCGCACTCTGGTAAACCTCTCTCGAGGAGGGTCACCCAGTGAGTTGGGGTGTTGTGCCTCAGGTTCCTGAAAGAGACTCTGCAGGGCCACAATGCATGTGAGCGTGTCCCTGACATTAGCCATAAACTCCGAGCACAGCAGGATGGATGTTTTTCCAAATATGGACCGTGTGCAGAAGGCGCTATGCAGTTGCACGGTGCAGAGGTAGTGTTGCCTCTCGTTTGTTGTAAGGCTGACATCACGATGTCAACACGACAACTCCAGTCCATAGGAATTCGCGCGTGCCGGAACGTAGACAAGAAACTTTCACCTCGGCTCAGCCATCCGAATGTAGATGTGATTTCTGGGTCGGAAAGCGAACACCTTTGTTGTTGCACCGTCAGAAAGATGGCGCTGGTAAATATTGGGTTAGAGGCTTGAACTGAACTAAACTTTTAGGTGCGAATGATCGTCATCGTCATCCGATCTCAGCTCCGCGGAAACGGGATGACGATGCAACAATTCTTCTTTGAGCCGCCTCTTTTCCCAAGTAGTCGGCCAAGCTCACTATATAGATCCGGCTAACCCTTTTGGGAGGCAGCCTTCTATCGGAAATTTGGTGCTGCGAGGATGTTGACAGCGCCACGTTGCAGATCCCAATTCAATTCACGGTACTGCGCCCTGATCGATATCTGAACTTTCCATCAAGATTCATCTCCTTTTCCAGTCACGCTTCTTCACGATGACATCTTGGAAGGCGAAAATGCAACCACGTTACGGCATTGCTGGTTGAGCTTCGTATAATTCTTCAAAGTCGGCATTTGCATTGACAGCAGCCTGAGTAAGCATCAGGCACCTCAACGTCACAATGTTACTGGTCTTGAAGGCTCGGACTACGCTAAGAGACCGAAAAAGCTATGACCTAGGTACTAACATTACCTAGAGACGGGATTAGAGTTTCCGGGTGGATTCTCCACCCGCCTGGTTCAAGATGAGAGCAAGCATTACTGCGGAGATCCCCACTATGAAGCCCTGCCATGTCGCCAGCTGCCAATAAACACGCCTCTGTTGTCATCGACGATGCCGTCCGCGGTCTTTGATGATGGCTCCCAGGCACAATCCCGTTGTGTGGGTCCCCCGGACTCGCATTCTATGTAGTCCTCTGGTCAGATGCCATGCTCGACGAATACCGTTGAGATACCACTCGGGGACATGAATCAAATTAGCTACCACTAGCTACTGGATAACAACGCTTTTCCACCACTATGATGCCTCAGAGAGTACTCAGCCTTGCAAAAAGCGTTGAACAACACTGTTACGATGACGATGACGGTCTCCACGACTCGCTAAAAGAGAGCTTAGCACAGACTACCTCAGTCGGCGACTATACGCTGTTGATCATGTCCCCAGTTGTAAGATATCAACCCGCACTTAGGGGGTGGAGCATATCTTATAATACTCCCTTGCCTGCTTGACTGCAAATCTCTTCACTCATGCAGTTATTCTATCTTGTCCTTCTCCTCTAGTCGACATAGTTGCAGTCGTTACCATGAAGGTCACCGCAGCACTCGCCTTTGCCCTTCCGGCAGTCACATCCGCCTTCCCGGCCATGATGGGTGCTTCGTCAAGGGCTGATCTGGAAAACGCTTTGAGGGAACAACTCAAGCGTGAAGCTGCTGCTGAGCCTGATCCTCAGCTTGGGCTATTGACAGGTGTTGGTAACACGATCAAGGCCCTGGGTGACACCGTTGGCGGACTGCTCAACTCCGTTGGTAATGCCCTTGTTGTTGCAAACAACAAGCGCCCTGAACCTGGCTACACTTTCCAGGCACCTGGCCCCGGCGACTCTCGAGGTCCATGCCCTGGTCTGAACTTGCTTGCCAACTGTAAGTGTGTTCTAATTGTAAATATTATCACTACCCATGAACATGACTGACTGAAATGTCATAGACGGCTACCTGCCCCGTAACGGTTACGTCAACTTCGGTCAGATTCTGGATGCCACATCCAGAGGTTTCAACATGGGTACGGACCTTGCAACGGTTCTTGCCACCTTCGCTGTGCTGGCGAACGGTGATATCGACACACAGTCTTTCTACCTGGGAGCAGGCAAGAACGGTGTTGGTGGTCTCAACAGACACTCCACTGTCGAGGCTGATGTCTCCCCCACTCGTGAGGATTACTACAACGGCTGCGGAGACAACCACCACTTGTCTTCCCGTCTCGTTAAGCAACTGGTGAAGTACGCCGACCAGGATCCCAAGAAGGAGTTTTCCATGAACGTCATGGCCAGCACGTACGCCGAGAGTGCTGGTTTCTCCAAGAACAACAACCCCTATCTCTACTACTTCCCCTTCCCCCAGATCGTTTCTCTGGGCGCTTTCGCCTTCTACCCTCAGTTCTTCTCCAACGGTACCTACGGTGCCGGCGGTGTGGCCAATGCTGAATCTATCCTGAGCATCATCGGCGCGAAGTTCGACAAGAACACTGGTGAGTTCCAATACGTTCCCGAGCAGTGGCCTGAGAACTGGTATCGCCGCGCCACTCCCTATGGTGCCGTGCAGGCCCTCACTGACGGCTTCCTCAACATCTACCCCCGCAACATCATTGTGCCCGGTGTTTCCCAGGTCGGCACCCCCAACTTCAGTGTTCAGACTCTCCTCTGCGACATCTACCAGGGCATCAACTCCATCACCCCTCTCGCAATCGGTGGCACCGAGGAGCAGGTTGCTAAGGGCCTCAGCTGGGCTTTGAGTGTTCTTGACCCTGTGCTGGGCGGAACTGCTCTTGGTTGCCCTAACAACGTTGTCTCGCCCAACTTCTTGTACCCTCAGTCTGCGAAGTCGGGTGGACCGACTACTCCTCCTCCTGTTAAGGCTGATGGCAACACTGGCGACAATGTTTATAACAACTTTTACTTCAAGACTGCTCCTACCAACCCGTCTTGCAAGGCTTGAGGATTGAAGGCTATGTTCGATACGTATTGTAATATGTAGCGGCTTCTCCATGCTGTCATGATTTAATGATTAATAATTTCACTTCATTTTATGCAGCCAATGTGCAAATTGTTATTGCTGATACGTTCTCAAATGTTACGCCGTATGACTTCACCTTATCGCAGGAAGCAGAAGCCGGAGCAATTTCCTAGAATTGTAAACGCTTGTTCTGAGGTGGGATGTCACGCTTACATGTGGTGCGCTATGTGATAGTAACGATATCGATCTCGAAACTGTCCTCTATCCACCTGTCATTGTCGTTGCCTTGATGGCTGAACCCTATATGTCCGCTATGGCGATAAACATAAACAGCCTGCTGAACTTTTTTCTAATAGAAGGCCTTGTTATCGTGTACATTTGTTGTCCTTCTGGACAACTTTCACAAGCATGAGAGCAATCAGGTCTAGCCTCGTCGCGTAGTTTGCGGTCTCCAAAGTATTGAAAAGGCAGTAGCTACCATATGGGCCACTCCTGGTCTTCATCCGTGGGCTCCGATTTCGAGTATTTGTAGCAGTAATCCAATAGGTGCCTCGACTGTTACGTGTCCTGCAATTACCTCACCGTAAGGGGTTTCGCCTTTGAGGTCAACTTGGCAATCCAAAATGGTAACAAGACCCCACCATCTGTTGTTACTCTCGGGTGTCTGGCCAAGGGTATGGTAGTTTGAATTGCCATTTGATAGATGCCCACGACCAGGAAGGCGCTTGGTACTGAAGACGACTACAACTCTGTGGTCCAATGACGCACCATAGCATCTCTTCGATCATGCTTGAACGCCACAAGCCAGCAAAATATTGGTCTCCGGTTCTTTCTTGGATTATACGTACGAGATCTGGGTAGCCGGGAGCTTGTCTGAAGATTTAGTCAGTGATCGTTCGCAATAAGATGTGAGTAGTTCGACCTAAATTTGGGGAGCTCGGATGGGGCTGTCGTTCTGTGGGAGCATATCCAAGTCTTTGCAAATGCAGCTGAGACAACCCATGAGTTTTGTCCCGTCCCGTCCTGGCAGAGGAAGTGTCTGTGGCATTCAAACATGATCTGCTGTGACCTACGTGAGGAAGACGAGGCGCAAGCCGGTGTTCTTGCAACGTCCACCCACGTTGCGATAGCGGCTCTTTCTCCAGGTAATTTTCGCTCGATGGTCTATCAGCAATCGTAGATGGTATGGAACAGATGTAAACTGTTCCCTCACGAGCAGATGTCGCATACGCAAAGCTGTTGTAAACGGAGCGTACTTGCTGGGCTAGGAACCCTTCTGTATCATCATTAGCCTTTAAGATGGAGAGGACAACGTAGGCGTTCGAGTATACATTGGCTGTGGTAGAGATGGCTGAGCCGCGCTGTCGCAGATGCAAAGGCAATATATCGGAAGGATACACCTAGACGGTGGCCAGGAAACCGATGGTGAAGGCACCTTGAAAGATGAAAAGCATTGCAGCCGCTGCAATGCCAGCACTCTTGGCCATAGAAGTATCGAAGTGCACCTGGTAGATGAGGGCAGCTTGCACAGCCATGACAGCAGCCATCACACTAATCATGGATAGCAACATAGGTCGGCGACCAATGCGATCAATCAAGAACCATGGAATGAACGAGGCGACGAAGAACCAAGTCTGGAGGAAGCCACTCATGAGCGAGGCCATGTGGGTATTGTTCGCCAGCGGTCCGTTGCAGTATTTGCTAACGGTCCGCTGCACTGATTGTCCAGCTCATTTGGTTAGCTCGGGTTTGCTTCCATACCCGTTCACAGCTATTCCCTTCTACTATATAGTCCCGATCGATCCTCGCCATAGCTCAAAAAGATCAATCAATACTCTCAACCCTTCCACAGGTATCGAACCCGATACTCGTCTCAAAGAGAGTACCGGAGTAGTCTGGAGCACATCAGCGAAGACACAAAGTGTACTGTAGGTACTGGACCACTTACAGATGATAGCGGTGATGCCTTCACGTTGTCGGAAGATCTGGATCCCGCAAGCGATGAGGAAACGCCTCCTGGACTTGATGGAGTCACTGCGAACAATTTCCTTCCATCTGGCTTGGCGGGAATTCTCATATGCGACTGTCTCAGTAATGACAGTGTGCAGACGTTGCACCTCCGGATTGCTCAGACCAGTGGATCCCTTGATACGTGCCAGCACTGCAAGGCACTCCTCCGGACGATCATGAGCAGCAAGCCATCGTGGCATCCCCGGAATCATGAAGGAAAGAATGAGGATGGCGAAGATGATGACGCATTGCAGGGTTGTCGGAACCCTCCATGATAGCTCGCTGTGGGACTCACGAAAACATAGTCGATCCAGTACACGATGATGATACCAAAGTCGAGGGTCGAGAGCTGAGCGCAGACGTACATACCACGGCTCGCCTTAGGACTGAATTCGGCTTGCAGGACCGGCACTGTAGAGTTGATGAAACCTGTTGCGGTATCGGTTGGTCCGTACAGTGTCTGACTATACCCCTGACCACTACCCTGGACTAGTGTGTTACAGGTCAGGTATATAGTCGTCTCCTCCTAGCTAGATAGCAATCCAGCACAGTATTCCATCGATCCGATAGTCCTACGTTATCGTTTACCGTAGCTATCAGTACTCTACAGCGGTCCACACCGCTACAAAACCAAGTCCAATTCCAGACACGATACGACCAACGATGAGGTGCGCGCGACCGAAGGTGGTTGCTTGGAGAAGAGCACCGATCAAGCTGATGACAGCTGCAATACCGACGCTCTTGCGGCGGCCCAGCTTCCCTCCTACGAACGCATTGGTCATTGCACCAAGGAAGCAGCCGACTGGAGGTTGTCAGTCTCAAAGCCCATCAACTGCACTCGATGACTTACTCTCAAAGAACGCAACAACAGTGCCGATCATGTTTGCCGATGGGTTATTGAAGGTATCCTTCAATGCAGGAGCATTGACAAGTCCACCCATGAGGCCATTTTCGTAGCCGATCAGCATAAAACCCAGCGAGGTTAACAAGCTAACCGTCAGCATAAAGGCTCTCTGCCTTTGAGCTCTGGCATTTTGAATGGTGAACGAGAATAGAGCGTATGGAGTAAGTCAAGTAAGGGATGCCTCTGTCTTCTGGATGAGGTGATGGTCGAGTAGCATCCACAGTCTTATATACACAGAGCTATCGTACCCCGGATTTGTGGCTAGGTGCAGATGGAGCCGACTCTATACTCTGGAAACGAAGGCTGGGCGCACATGGCAGGTTGAATGTCCCTGCATATACTGCGGGCTCTGCCGTTATATGAAGGGATTCGCTTGATAGCACCTGTGGCACGTTCGAACGCCGATTTTGCAACAGCTACGCACATGAACGTGATCGATTCGTAGCTGTTTTGAGTCAATTCTAGACAGGTCCAGACAAATACAAAGCCGGATCGTGGCTAGTGAGGCGCCACACGTATACCATGGTCTGAGCTGACTGATGCGGAGCAGTCTGTTCTGCGATTGGCCCACCTCGGCCCTTTTGTACTCGCATACCGTGTCCGTGCGCGTAATGCGCGGATTCGCGTAATGCGCCGAACCACCTTTTTGTACCCATACTTCACTGTACAATTACTCAACGCCACAA